GTCGCCAGGTCCCCGCGACGGAAACAGCGACCTGTCCTCGCCGCGAAACCTGGCCGCATTGTACGCTCTCCCCTGGGCGTAATCCTGAGAGCGCCAATGGCGAGGTGAGTGCGCGCGGTCTCTTAGGGGCCCCGAGCTGAGACCGAATGCGAAAAGGGATGGGCATCCCCAGTTCCACGATCCACCGACTGACGCTACCTCCAGGTGGATCAACGGAGCCACCGGAGGCAGAAGCCCTCGTGGATATTTATGCACCCGCGCTGCATCCCCCCCGCCCGCCCGCCTCAAGTTGGGGGAGAGAATGCCCGCAGCGTCCATATTCGCGCATCTAATCATCGAACTATTGGGGGAGTGTTGTCTAAAGAGGCAGAGCTCGTCTTCGCGCGCGCCATTCGTGAGGTACTCTAAGTCGTGCAACGCCAGGCCGATCGCCCTGCATGTCAGTATCGCCCGATCTATAATCGCCTTTGACAACAACTGCAGGTCCACGATTTCGAGCGAAATCCCAAGTCCTCGAAGCTGAATGTGCGTGCAATGGTTCAGCGCGTGCCTGGGGCCAGCCGTTCGGATCTGCGCTGCCTCCCGATCTTGTTTGGCAGCTTCGAAGGTGGCCCGAGCGAGCTGAAGCCGATGCTGGAATGCCAATCAGCAGTTCGACTGGGAAAGCCGCGTCGTCATCGGGGGCCCCATGGGGAGAAACCGAAACTGCCGTGCCCTCTGCCAGAACTGACTCAAGGCCTCCCGCCGCGCCTCAGCGCGAGCCCCAGGCCAAACGCAGCGCCCGAGGTCGCGCGGGCCCCGAATTTCAGAGGGGAACCAACCCCCCTGCTTCCTCGCGTGCACCGAGATAGCGACATCCCGGAAATTGTGGCCCTTGGCGCCCCTGCGCTGCTGCTCGGTGACCGTCGGCGGGGCAGTCTCATTCGGGCTGCCGCGAAACGCGCCCGAGAGAATCTTAGCGCCCGCGTCGGGGAGCGACGGGGGTTGTGTCGAACCAGGCAGCCTCAAAACAATAGCGCCCTGATCGGCGGGGGCGCCTCTGCGCCTTCGCTGGCGCAAGCTGCTTCGTAAACGCCATGCAGGAGATTGGTGGCTTCGGGGGCCGCCCGACATCCGCGCGGGGCGCCGTCGGGGCCAGGGGCAGAGCGCCGCTGGAATCGCGCGCGCTTCTCGAACTCGCGCTGGCTCAGGCGCCAAAGTTCTTCGCGAGGTGGCTGGCCAATCGATTGGTCGCGGGAGTGGATCGCGGAGCAGCGCCGTTCATCGTGGAGGGAGTGGGCGACTGCTCCTCCAGTGGTGGCCGGCGCGCGGGCCGCGTTGCCAGGGGTCGCGCGGGGGGGCCGTTCTCGTCCGGCGCCCCCCTGGGCGCAATGCGACGTCTCATCAGTGCCCGACGTCGCTTCAAAGCCATCGGACGCACCTTCAGTTTGCCCCTGCTCGCAGCTCCTCCTCAAGCCATCGCTTCTGCATGGTAACGAGCAGAGAGTGCAATGCGCCTGGGTCAGCGCAGATGCTGCGGCCAACATCAAAGAAGGGGAAAAAGACATCATGGCGGAGCAGTGCGCGGATTGCAAGATGCTGCCGCTGCCCCCTTCCACTCTCGGAATGTCATGAAAGCCAAGTGGTGGCACCCCGCGTCATTTGATGCCGGTTGGCTCTTGAGAGAAGGCCGAAATTCGGTCGCCACTGTGCCCGAAAGATCATTAACTTTCCGAATGTGCTCCGGTAGTATTTTTGGACGGAAGAGCGGGCCCCCTCAGCTCTTCCTAAACTATCTTCCCATGCGATGCGCGTCGACTAATCCACGTCGGGACTGAGAAGGCCCGCCTGGCTCAGGACAGGCGATGACCGCGGCGACGGCGACCTGGACCGACGACGCCCCTCTGTAGGTCAGGATCCCCGCGGCGCAAGCAGTGACATCCAACTCGTGGGCGATTCCAGCAGGGAGAATGGGGTGGGCCCTGCTGGCCTTGAGCCTAGAGAGGGCCTAGAGAAACCTCGAAGCCGCCGCCGACTGCCCCTGCGAGTGGGGTCAGGCTGAAATATCTCACGCCAGGAACAGCTTTTGATCATGAATGGCGTAGCAGTGCCGGCGATCCCCAGGGCCGCGCTCTCGGGTCGGCCAGGAGCCCCCCCTCCTCCACAGGGGGATAATTCCGATCACCTGCTACCAGCGCCATGCCTTTATCTGCGGGGGGTAGCATGTCGAGTTTTTTTTTTTTTTTTTTTTTTTTTTTTTTTTTTTTTTTTTTTTTTTTTTTTTTTTTTTTTTTTTTTTTTTTTTCGCGCGCTGCTTGCGTGCGCGGATGCGATCGCGCGGCGCGTGAGCATTCGCAATCGTGAGATCCCAGCAGGCCCCGGGCAGCGCAGATGGAGGGCCCCCCTTCCACCGCCTCGATGGGGGCCGTCTGCGGGCGCGAAGCAGCCGAATCACCCGAGACAGACATGGCGACGCCCCCGCCTGGTGCCCCATCCTCCATGGCGCTGCCGCGCGCCGCGCCCGCGCGCATCTCGTCAACTTATATGGCCACTGGAACCGTGGGCTTCCTGGGAAGCTGCAATCTGGCGCAGTTCGAGCAACTTCTTTGCTGGCTGCAACTATGATCTCGCTTCGAGGAAGGGGGGGGGGGGGGGGGGGCGGGTGCTAAGAGAACGCGGGCGTTCTACGCGCGGCGCGGGGGCGGAGTGGACGGGCGACGGGCTCCACCAGCGACCTCTGCGAGGGAAGGGGGGGGGGGGGGGGGGGGCGTTGTGGCGCGCTGTCAACTTAGCAGCGCCTGACGCTGCCCTCAGGAGACGCGGGCCCCGTTGAGCTCGCGGGCGCCGAAGACGCAACACTACTCTTGTCGAGCCCCCCTTCCATGTCGCAATCGCCTCGACGCAAGGGTTTCTGAGAAACGGACCTGCAGGCGTGGCGCGTGTGCTTTCCTGTCGATCTCGGCCAGGCCTCCTTTGTCCACCGCCGCGTCAACGCTGCCGTCCGTTGGGCCATTGTCGCGCGAAAAGATTTCCACCGCAGGGGCGGGCAGCGCGCCCGCAGTCGCCCCGTGGGTCCATCGCGCCGCGGGCCGAAGATATGTGCCGCAGCTTGCATCATGTTCTAGATCGTGAAACAGCTTGCGATACGTCTGTTGGAGGTCACTGCGGACGCGGAACTCAAGGGCTTTTTCGCTCCCAGGATCAGGAGGGGCAGACGGGCCCTCATACATGCACTTCGCGTGGAACGTGGAGGCAGCCACAGAGTTCGGGAAATCCATGACATCTTTACTGCAGCTGAAAGCCTTAATCTGGATGCAGGGGACGTCAGCCTGGCGAAGAGCAGCCTCAGGGCCGCAAAGCGACTCGGGTTGCCGACGCCTCCTAGCTCGATGCGGCGACGAGCATGACGAGACCATTGGTCGCCATCATCAGGAGGTGCTGCTCCGCCAATAGGACGTGCTGTGCCGACAAAAAGGCATCCCTCATCACTGGTAGCTCCTCCTTCATCGTATCAGCGATGCCATCACCTTCCTGCCTCATCTCACGCTCGGCGATCTCACGATCCTGCATGACGTGCAAAGAAGCCTGCTGCTCTTGGATAGAACGCACGCTTGCGTTACCCAGTGTTGTCATCGCAAGATCCGCGCGCGCGGAGTGCAACATCTGGCCCTGGATCGCCAGAAACCGGTTGTTAATCTCAATGGAGTGGCTTATCAAGTTGTTGGGAGAGAGAAATCATATATACATATATTTATATATGTATATATATATAGAGAGAGAGAGAGAGAGAGAGAGAGAGAGAGAGAGAGAGAAAGAGAGAGAGAGAGAGAGAGAACAAGAGAGAGAGAGAGAGAGAAAAGAGAGAGAGAGAGAGAGAGAGAAAGAGAGAGAGAGAGAGAGAGAGAGAGAGAGAGAAAGAGATAGAGAGAGAGAGAGAGAGAGAGAAAAAGAGAGAGAGAGAGAGAGAGAAAGAGGGAGAAAGAGAGAGAGAGAGAAACAAAACAAAAAGGGTAAAGAGAGAGAGAGAGAGAGAGAGTCCGGGGGAGATAGTCCTCAGGAGGAACAGGAGGACGAGGAGGGGGAGGAACTAAGCTAAGTCCGCCCACGCCATGTCTGACATCCTACCTATCCCACCGATTCCTTCTCGTTGCGCTGACTTTTCTCTGTCCGTCGACGGGTGTCATCGTGTTTTGCGCAAGTGGGCAGGCGAAGTGCGTACGTTGGAGCAGGAGGGGGTGGCGGATGAGCGGGAGGGTGGGCGGGACGAAGAAGAGGAGGAGGAGGAGGAGGCGGAGGAGGATGAGGAGGAGGATGGAGGAAGACGAGGGACAGCAGCAACAGGGGGAAGCAGGAACATGGGAGAAGGCAACGGCGAGGCGCCGATCAAGTGCGTGCGCCCGTGCCCGTCTGGACGGGGCAAGGCGGGCGCCGTGCCAAGAGGGGAGCCGGCCAGCTTTTGGAATCCGCACCCTCGCAGCTACAGTGATGGACGGCAGCGGCGGCTGGACAGCTGCTGTCGGCGGGCAGGGAGCGGGCCCTGCGCGCCGTTCGGCACGAGAGGGGAGCCAGACATTTTTGTGCCCCACGCCCTCGCAGCTACAGTGATTGACAGCGGCGGCGGCTGGACAGTTGCTGTCGGCGGGCAGGGAGAGGGGCCCTGCGCGCTCTTCGGCACGAGAGGAAAGACCACGGAGCCGAGACAAGTGGTCTGCGGCGGAACATATGGCGACCTCGGTTGACGGCGACGGCTGCATGAGAACGGGAGAGGGGGGAGGGGCGGGAGAGGGGAAGGGATGGGGGAGAGGGGAACGGGGGCCTGGAGTGGAGAGAAGCATGGCGTGAAAGTGCGGATCGGGGGGGGGGACGGGGCGGGGGGACCTCCGGACACACCGAAGGCTCGGCCTTTCATGTTTAAGAACAAGCTCTCGGGATCGTCCCAAGGCACCCACCATCCATGATGGTGTCTCGAGTTCCGCCTTGCCCGGGGCGCGGAGAGGAAACTACGGATCGCAGAGGAAGCGACGGTCGTCACAAGCACTGCTTTGTCAGGACCCCCAACCAATCAGGGCGCTCGCTCGTGCAGCAGCTGCAGCTCCCTGGATGCTGGCGCAGGCATCGGGCCCTCACCCGAGGCGCCCGCGGGCCAAGAAAATCAATCGCGGGCGCAGGCGCCGCAACAAAACATTTTGTCCGCAATGGAAGCTAGAAGTCCGCTGCCCCTCAGGAGGGTTATCGAAATAGCGCGACCACGATAACATCGCACACGTGCAACGCAACACACATGAATGTAAATGACTCGCACCGCGACCGTGCGAGGGCAAAAAAAGACCTGCGAGGCGCCGCAACAAGACGTGCGCCACCCTCGGCGCCTGGGCGTTCGGCCGCAGCCACGTACCACCATGTCTCTACAGCCGAGCTTGATGAGAAGGATGCGCGGCAACGATGCAAACCCCGGGGACACCCAAGTTGAAACCGTTTTTACTGGGGAACGCGCAATGGCGCAAACATGATATTTCGGAGGTCCGCGCTGATTTCTCGGATCGGCGCAGGAGCCTCTGGGCGGCGCCTTCCCAGGCGCGCTCCGCGCGCCAGAGAGGGGGAGTCCAGCGGCGATCCAAGACATCCATGAGGACCTCCGAAAGTTGATGTTCATGTCAATGGTTGCTCCTCGAACGTAGCGGTGCACAGTCAAAGAACATCGTTGAGGATGGGCAGAAATGGTAAGGGTACAATAGCACCCTGAAAAATCACTCATCCGTACTATGCGGTCTAGTTTGGGCTGCTGTTTGCCTGGGCTGTCCGCTCGCACGCCGTGCTGGCCGAGATGAGTGCGAGTCTGGTGCGCGCAAGCGGGGCCCACGTGCAAGTTCGGCTCCGTGCGAGGGGCACCCCGTACAATTCGGTGCGTGCGGTCGGAGCTCTGTGCCCGCGGTCAGACACGGGCGAGAATGTGAGGGGTCGCACCACGAGGGAGGGGCGGGGAGAGGTTTGATCAGGAGTGTAACTCAAAGACACGGGTATGCACCATCTAAGATCAGACCTGTGGTCACGCTGGAGAAATGAAGCACACTGTCTGCCGCCTCGCCTGCCTCCGACCCCCGTCTCCACCTCATCCGCCAGTGCTGAATCCTTCAAGTAATACTGGAACATCCAGTGGTAACGGCCCTCCTGGGTGTAGAGGATGGACCAGACCGAGTACCAGTTCGTCAACTTCACTGGGTACCCCTTTTCCTTGAACTTAGAGTTGGCCTGACATGGGCAAAAATCAACAACGGCAAGGAGGCATCTGAAGGATGGTCAGTGGCTTGCAAAGAAAAGACTGCAAGGAGTCTGAAGCATCCGCCATGGTCCAGTGCCAACCGAAATTGCATGTGAGACGGTCGACATGGCCATCATGGTTGTCTAATGCGCTCTCCACCAACGCCTCCCAGGAATATGTTTGAGACCAATTCGTGCTATCCTGTGCTGTGTTGCCACCATGCATATTACTCTCAAGACGCTTTCTACTCGCCCAAGGCGACCCCTGAAGGCTCCAATATGGCTCCGAGCATGCCAAAGATGGCCGCACACTTCGAGAGCCGTGAGATGTCCGCCAGATCGTCCGAGATGGCCTTACCATGCCTACAGAACCCTGCGATCTCCTGCAGATGGCTCAAGATGGCCCCAATATTGCCCAAGATGGTCCCAAGATGGTCCTATTTGCCCCGGAATTTTCCCGACAAAGCTTCGACGTGGCCTTCAGGTGCCTCCACGATCGGAAGCGGTCATGGGGTCTGAACTGGTTGGGCCCGACAAATTCGGTCAGGACGGGTTGATGAGGCCAAGTCCGCTCAAAATCGGCCCCTGGACCCCTCCGAAGGTCCACCTGGTGCAATTTTTCAGCCCGGATCCGTTGTTCACGGTCCCGGGGCCCGACGAAGACAGCCCCTGCAGGCCGAACAAGGCAAAACGTTTTCACGAACCCAAAACCTCGAACCTGCCCGCCCTTCATGGCCGGAACGGACACTGGGCGACCTCAGACCAAAAGAGTCCCACTGTGGCTCGTGTCTCGGTGGCCCCGGACGAGCTGCTTTTTGCGCTGCGTTCTGGGCACCTTGCCGCTGGCCTGCCAGAGCCTCTGCGCGCTGTGCCACGCGCGCGGTTCAGAACGCCCCGGGCATGTAGCTGGTTGAGCTCCCCACGAACCAGAGCTCGCGCGCAGTGATACTCCCAGCGCTGGTTCTCAGAATTGTGCCGACGACTGCGGGGTGCACCTGACAGATCCTGGCCATCCTAGAATTGATTGAAGCACGCGGAAAGGCCAGGGCATCGAGTACCGTCTGGGCCCTTGGTCGGGGCAGAGAAAACGCGATGATTGAGACTGGCAGATCCAATCCACCCACCTCATAAACCTGAAAAACTGACCACGACAGAAATAGTGCAAACGCGGCAGTCGCAACCTTTCTCGCAGGCGAGCGCGAAGTAGGCTTGGGCCTCAATTTCCGAGGCCCTACCTCTCGCACCGCTCCACCATCCTTTGCCGACGCGCGCTGCCTGCCTCATAATCATCCGTAGCTCCTCCTCCTCCTCCTCTTCCTCCTCCTCCTCCTCCAAATCCTCCACATCCTCCTCCTCCTCCTCCTCCTGCTCCTCCTCCTCCCTCCTCCTCCTCCTCCTCCTCCTCCTCCTCCGTCCTCCGTCCTCCTCTCTCCTCCTCCTCCTCCTGCTCCTGCCTGCTCCTGCTCCTGCTCCTGGTCCGCTCCTCTCCGCCTCCCTCCTCCACCTCCTCCTCCTCCTCTCCCTCCTCTCCTCCTCCTCCTCCTCCTCCTCCTCCTCCTCCTCCACCCTCTCTCCTCCTCCTCCTCCTCCTCCCTCCTCCTCCTCCTCGTCCTCCTCGTCCTCGCCCTCGTCCTCCTCCTCCTCCTCCTCCTCCTCCTCCCTCCCCCCTCCTCCTCCTCCTCCTCCTCCTCCTCCTCCTCCTCCTCCTCCTCCTCCTCGCACGTAGCTCGGAAGGAAGGTCGATTAATCCTCTGGTTCGAATTGTTGGAACAATTGAGCGCGAGCAGCTCGTTCGCGCTCAGCGATCGGAGTGGCGGTCGCAGCCTTCTTCACATTATACGTGTAGTGAGCGATCGCAACTCTCTGGATCGCAAGCTTGCGCGGATCTTCTGTCATCGTCACCGCCAAAGCAAGTCTGCGATCGAGGAACGGCTCGATCGGGTCATTGGGTCTCCAGGTCTGTTGCGCAGCCGTCCAGGGCTCAGTACAATTAAGGTGGTGGCCTTGTGAGTCCATCTCTTGAAGACAACCGAATTTGCATGGGCAGTCTCCTTGTGACATGCGGCGTTCCGTCGTCCACCCACCCGCCAGAGTCCTTTTCATTGAGATCGGCCATGCTGGGGGCATTTGAGCGAGGACCTCTCTCGGCTTTGGCCAACTTAGGGCCGCGAGAGCGCGCGCAGACGGGGGCCGCGAGGCCCACTTAGAGATGCGTGTAGCAATCGTGTCTCCCAGAGAGTCGACCAGGAGAGCCTCTTCCAAACCACGAGCAATCGTTCTGTGGCTGGGCGCTCCAGGAGAGATTTTGCGGGCATCAGTGAGAGCTTGACGAGCATGCAACGCATGTTGGTGCAGGCGCGGACAGGCAGGAAACGACTGGCCAGCGTCGAACAATTCCTGTGCGAACGGGCGAGCAAGCCAGTAGGATGGCGACCAATTATTCGCTGTCCAAATAATCGTTGGCAAATGCTGCCGGCACTGATGCTGGAGACGAGACCACAACGTGCGCCAATTGGTGCCGGTCGAGAGTGCAGACCGAGCGAGCGCAGCAGTGCGCGAGCTGTGCAAGGTTCGCGGGCGGATGCGAGACCGGGGGCGGAGCGGGAGCAGAGAGGCGAGAGGAAACGAAAAAGGTGGGGGATGAAGCACGCGGTGACAGGCCCAGCTTTCCCACGTAGAGATGGATTTCGGCATTGGCGAGAGCTGAGCAAGATGGGCCAACTTGGAGACCGCGCGAGAATTATTCAAAGTTGTCGCAACTGAGGGGGCGGCCTTGGTCGCAGCTAGATCATGCGTGAAGCCGCGCCACTCGCTAAACGCCCCCGCCCACGTCGCGTCTCTCGAACCTGCTGGGCCGATCCACGCCCCTAGATATTAGTCATCTGTGGGGATGGAAGCCCACTTGGGCGCTCGCTTGGACATGCAACTCTGAATGCTATCTTTGAGCTCGCACGAAAATGCAGCGCCGGCAGGGGTCAATCTGCACTTCTGAAGCTTTAATTGTGCGCAGCATAGAAAAGCACCAGTCAAGTTCACAGGGGCTTTTAAGATCCCGAACGGACGCCCCGACGTCATCCGCGCAGGCGCAAACTCCGCCCCAGGGAATTTCTTAAGCCTCTTGCGAATATCACGGATTATCGGATCCATGCAAAGTGCCAAAATTGTACCACTAAGCGGGCCACGCATCGCGCCCGACTCAAGGGAGCAACAGAAGGAGCAGAGGCCTTGCAAAGCTACAGAAGCGGCCGCGAATGAATAAGTGGCACGAGTGAAATGCTGAAAACCGAGAGGGGGATCGATGGGCTCAAGCAGAAGCCAGAGAAAGATATGACAGAAAAAGGGGGGGGGGAAGGGGGGGGGGGGGGGGGGGGCATTTCCAAAGCCCAGGAGGAGCAGGGCAGGAAGCTGCTCCTGCGCGGCAGGCTGCATGCTGGCTAGACGCGCCGACGTGTCGAGGAGAGTCACGTCGTCTAGAAAGTTCCGTTGAACTGCAACGCCCCCCTGGTCTGGGTGCGAGTCGCGCGCGAGAACCGGTTTGAAGGAGTAAGTACACGCCGAGGCAATAATCTTGGCATCTGTATTTTTGGGCGCCAAAGGCCTCGTGGCAGCAGGCTCGCAGAAAACAAACGAGGAATCCTCTGTGCGTCGACCCTTGTGGGCAAACACCAGAAGTAGCTCATGCAGCTCCACGGGTGGGGATGCCCACTCAAGAGAACAGAAAATCGAGGAGGACAGGGCCCGCGAGACGAGTTTGCTGCCGAGCAGCGTAAGGAAGCCCGTCTGGGCCTGGGGCAGTCGGCGGGGCACATTCTATCGCTCGCTCAATTATCCCCCGCGTCGGGGGCAAAACCTCGGACCAGTCAAAGGGCTTGGCGGGGGTGATGGAGGGGGGGGGGGGGCTCGCAGAGCGGGTCGGCTTGTCGCGGGCGAGTCGCGCGGCCTCCCTCGCCGACCTCTTTAGGGAATCGGCGATGGCCTCTCCAATTCCGACTGGCTGATCAGCAACTGGAGCATCTCCTGGAACTACCTGGACTTGCAGAGAAAGGCAGGGGCAGCTTGCTGGTCGCCAGGGCGTTGAGGCCGTCCACGAAAGGTGATGGATGGGGCGTGATCATAAGTGCGGGGTTCATGCAGGCGTTCAGGTTCTGTCATAATAGTCGCAGTGGGATCCCAGTGCAAAATCATCCATTGAGGCGTGGGTGCGATGGCCTTGTCGAGCGCCGTTAACTTGTCATCGTCAGCTATGCAGTGCGTCGGCTTCTCAGGGTCGAGCTCCGTAAGGTCCGAGAGCGTGCGCCACCGAGGCGCCATGCTGACGCTGCCGAGGTTGCACAAGCAGACCAGAGAACGGAGATGCATGGGCGCGTCCACCGTGCAATTGAAGTCACCCAGAGCAAACGCTGTGACCCTTTCTGGGCATGGAGCAGCGACCTGAGTCTCAGCAGCTATCCTGGCTGCCAGGGTATCCACCTGTTCCGAAGAGAGAGAGAGAGAGAGAGAGAGAGAGAGAGAGAGAGAGAGAGAGAGAGACCACAATAATGAATATTGTAGCAGACTAACATCGCATGCTCTTTACCTTCTTGTTCAGGAATGGGCTTGATCGCATGGCGCTGAGCGCGGCCATGAATCAGCTCCGAATCTCGGATGCGTTCTTCACCCAGACCTTCTTGAAATTGAGCTTTTGCCATTCTCGGGGGAATCGCGGCCGCGCCGCCGGGCGTGTGGGAGGGGATGGGCGCCGCCATGCCGCAGTCTAACATGCGTTGATACAGTTGAGTTTCGAGTTCAGCCTGAGAGCCATGAACCTCCGGCAGAGCGAAAATGGCGCGATTACGAAACAACTCGCGAAGTTTGTCACGCTTCTTCTTTCTCATGTCAGGCTGGTGGTGAAGGAGCGCGCGTGTGTTCCAAGTGCCGGTCGCAATGTCTCTGTTGATGTTGCTGGGGGTGTCTTGCCATGCATTTATGGCGCGGCTAAATGTGCCACTGGACTTGGTCTTCCATCGCATAAAAGTGAGCAGCGAAAGCTCCCTGCACCGCTTCCTGGCCCACCTTCCTCGCATTGACAGACCCGTAGTTCCACGAAGGGCGCGAACGCGCCTCCATTGAGCCACCAGGCTAGACCGTGATCGCCGGAACTCCCTCGACGTAGACGATGCCCTTGGTCCTGTTGTGCTTGATTCTTGCTTGGGGATGAATGTCTTTAGCAATGTTTGCCAGCCTTTTTGTTTGTATGTCAATGCGTATTTGCTGGGGAAACTTGTCGAGGCCGACGTATATTCTGGCACGACCACCCTCCGTCGTCGAGACATTGAGTCCTTCCATTCTCCGGCTTGGTTGCGTAGGGCGCGCCGAGCAGCGCGCACTTTTCTCTAAGCAGCCCCCGTATCGCCAGCCATTTGAATTGTGTAGCGTCTGTTGGGGGAGCTGCCGACAAGCTTCCACTGGTTTTCCTTGATGTCAGCCTCCCCGACTCACGGTGCAAGCGCGGCTGCAACATCTGCAGCAGGGACGAGAGCAGAGAGGTTGGCGACCATACTCGGCGGGTCGGGGTCCCTCTCCCAGACGCCGAGGTCCGCGTAGTCCTCGATGGGGATGGCCCGCTCCGCGATGTTCAGCTCCTTGCGGATCTCCTCCAGCTGGGTGCGCATCTCCTGCTGCGACTTCTCCATGGCGTCCTGTGCGGCATGCAGAGAGTGGAGTTCATCTTGTACTGGAAGGTTGACTTGTTCTTGCTTGGTAGCAACTGCTTTGACGAGATTATACGTGTGGGTGGTGATGTCCCCAACCATCGCGGTCCGAGCAGCTGCGAACTTGGCATCGATGGTGGAGGTGGCCTCCGCTTTGAAGGCTGCCAGCAGCTCGCCAATGGAGTTGGACGCAGGCGTTGCCGCCGACAAAGGTGCCTCACGCTGCGCAGGCCTGCCACGCGAGAGTGGTGTAGGAGGGGCTGGGAGCATGGCAGGACCCTTGTCCCTTCCCTTCCATGGGTCGGCCGCCTGCCAAATATCGTTAGCATCAGAGGAAACAGGAGTAGAAGGGTGACTGTCGCATAGCCTGAGCCTCGATCTCCTCGCCCGTCGGCTCCTCCATCTCTTGGGCAGGAGACCTGTCGCTTCCGCCCTTTGCGCGCATGTTCAGGCATTGGCGAGGCTCACATGGAGCCAGAGGGAAACGATGCTCCAGCAGGAGCTCACAAAACCGATGATTTGGGCCGCGTGTGGCCAAAAGGGAAAGAGTCAGCAAGCGAGGCAAAGCCACCTTCCTACCATCCGACGCACAATCGTTGGTCAGTGTAGCACCTAGAGCCAAAATGGCTAGGGACCTCCTCCTCCTCCTCCTCCTCCGCCTCCGCCTCCGCCTCCGCCCCCTCCTCCTCCTCCTCCTCCTCCTCCTCCTCCTCCTCCTCCTCCTCCTCGCAGGCGCCACGGGCAACGAGCGAGCGCAGTCGGCACGCGCGCCGTGCTGATGAAGTAGTCGATGTTGCCCTGCATGTCCTGCGCGCCCCTCGCATCCCAGGTGCGGAGGAGTACAGTCGGCCCGTATCAGAAGGATGCGCGATAAGGATGCGAGGGCCTCGGAAGGACACTTCGAAGCTTCTCGAGGATGGCGCGGCCAACGAGAGTGGTCAAGGATGGACCGAGGAGGCAAGGATGCGAGGGTACTCTTGGGAGGGGTGCCCATCCCTAAATTGCGGGTTGACAGTAGGAGGCGGAACGCAGCCAGAGGGAAGCCCGGATCCGAGATAGCACGGAGAACCCCCACCCCGCCGAGCCGGACGCGGGAGCAAGCGGGGCAGCATGAATGCAGGAAGGTGGCAGCTAGGCAGAGGAAGAGGACGAGGAGGAGGACGAGGAGGAGAGGGACGAGGAGGAGAGAGACGAGGAGAACGAGGAGGAGAGGGCCGGGAGGTTCAACTTCTACCTCTTCATGGTCCGCCGGCCCTGGCCGCCCGCTGCTTGTTACGCAGCCCTTCTTGCAATTCTGCGGCACGCCCGCGAAGGACTACACCTTCCGAGTGGGTCCCGCCTCTCTTTGCCTCTATCCTTAGGTCGGGCATGTTCCTACAGGCGGACTTTGGAGGACAAATCCGCCGACCCTGTCGGCGTGTGGAAGACGCATCCCGGTGTCGTCGTCTTGCGTGGATCACCGTCGTCGTCGTCGTCGTCGTCGTCTCCGTCGTGTCCTCGTCGTCGTCCTCGTCGTCTCCGTCTCCGTTGTCCCTCGTCGTCTTCGTCGTTCCCCGTCTCCTTGAGCGCGCGAGCCAAAGCGACATTGAGCAACGTCGTAGTTGAGTCGTGGCGAAGCCCCTCCCTACCCTCCCCGCCGGGGGGGGGGGGGGTCGCCGGGGGGGTCGCCACCCAGATACGCATCCTCCCCGGGGGGTCCCGGAGCTCAGAAAAGCTTCAAGACGAGCCAAGAGCGACAGAAGACACCCCCAAAAGGGTACAAGAGGGCCTCGACTCGACGAACGATGGCCCCAAGACGCCCAAGACGGCCCGAAGACGGCCCAAGAGGCCCTTAAGACGCTCCAAGAGAGCCCCAAGAGCACACCCAAGAGGGCCCCAGGCGCCAAAATTGCCAATTTTACATCGGTTTTTGAATGATTTTGGCCTTCTCGCCTTTTCGGCTTTCCGACACTCCAAGACGGCCCAAGAGGCCCCCAAGAGGCCCCCAAGAGCGCCCCAAGAGGCCTACAAGAGGGCCCCAAGACGGCCCAAGAAGGCCCCAGGACAGCCTAAGAGGCGCCCAAGACGGCCCAATAGGGCCCCAAGACGGGCCCAAGAAACGGCCAAGAGGGGGACGAGGAACCGAGAATTCGAGACTTCCGCCCTAAGAGGCCCCCGGGAAGCCCCAAGAGGCCCCCAAAAGGCCCCAAGAGGCCCCCGAGCGGCGCCAAGACGCCCCCAAGATGCGCCGAAGACGGCCTCCGGAAGCCCCAAGAGGCCCAAAAGAGGCCCCAAGAGGCCCCACAACGGCCCCCAAGAGGCTTCAAGTTGCCTTCCAGACGCCCCCGAGAGGTCAACCACGAGATCCCAACCAACATCCATAAGGCCTCCTCCTCCTCCCCCTTCACCCTTCCTCCTCCTACTCCCTTCCGCCTCCTCCTCCTCCTCCTCCTCCTCCTCCTCCTCCTCCTGCCCCCCCCCCTCGTGTTGCCTTTCGTCATCTTCAGGGTCGGCGGCAACGGCCGTAAGGCCTTCGCAATACAGAATTAGTCAAAACAACAAATCAACAATGGTGAATCGCAGTCGAACAAAAACGTCCCCAGAGCATGTTTTGACTAGGTTTGAATATTCCGCCTGTCGAGGGACATGCCCGACTTGACCCTATCCATCCCTCTCCGCTCCCCCGTGCCTCAAGGTGCGCGCCCGGCGCGTCCCGCCCGTGGCCCGACCGGCGCCTGCGCACCGGCTTCTGACCAGCTGGCGCCCGCTGACTTCAGCAAGTGTGGACGTTTCTTTCCTCATCGGGCTGCTGCGCTCTCTCCCCTGCGTCCTCTGTGAACGTTGGCTCCAGATGCAGGGCGGGCGCGGGCGGGCGCGGCAAGAAACCCAGCCCTGAAGACCCGCGCGAGAGGTGCGACTGGGGGGAAGCCCAGGGCACCCTGAACGCAGCAGCTTCCTCAACGGCCGCGGGAAGTCACCGCGCAGCGCGAGGAGCGGAGGAACCCAGGGTACCCTGACGAGAAGCATCTGGTTTCTTGATGCGCGCCCCCAATGTATTGCGACATGTCGTAGATCCCCTGCCATGGATCCCCGTAACCTGTCCAACCATTTCTCTGTCCCAGGGAGTCGTTTTCTAACTGGAGCTACCAAGCTGACGAATCACCCAATACACATTCACTTACAACGATCCCACATTCAGGCGCTCGACCGACTTCGGCCACTTTTTCTGCGCTTCGCGTTGTGACTCGCCTTTGTCGACATGGACCATTATGATCACTCTGTCGTGCTGGATACTGTTTCGACGCCCCTGTACCATTATGATCACTCTGTCGTATGGGTCCTCACGGGGTTTCCACGTAGCTGCCGTCTTAGCGAAATCTAATGTAAAACTCTGCGGCGAGCGAAGGGGAGAAGTGAGAAGGAGACGGCCTTCTCAGAAGGTTCGGAAGTCCCCCAGCCTCCTGAGAAGTTGTCTAAGCCTTCTCCGAAGGCAAACCAACTTCTGAGAAGGCGCGAGGGCTTCTAAGAAGGCGCGAGGGCTTCTGAGAAGTGCCGCCACCTTCTGACCATGCCTTCTCCTTCTCATTTTCCCCCCTCGCTCGCCGCCGAAAAAACCGGCGCAGGCTGTCGTCCCCGTCGCTGGCTGTCATTTTCTTCGCTGGGCTTCTCTCTCGTCGGTGGCCCTTCCTCAGAGCCGCCTACTCGCTCCTCCCCGCCCCAGTCCTCGTAGGACTTCAAGGTCTCTGGCGTGTCGAGCCACTTCAGGAAGGCGTTCATGCAGGCCATCACAAAGGGATGCCCAGCAAACGTGCCAATGACGTAGTTGATGCGGGCAGCCTCCAAGAATGCTGCAAGGCAATGGTTTACAGGAGCGTACTACAAGGAAAATTATACGAGGGCGGGAAATACGTAATACCGATGAAGACCAGCGATCCGGCGTGTGAGTTTAAGAAAGCTACAACCTGAGCTTCAGCTCTGCTGGGAGGGCGCCGGGGTCGCTCTGCCGGGGTAGGGGGGGGAGGGGGGGGGGTCATCGGGTCCACCCTTTCTTCCCCCCCCCCCCCTGGGAATTCCAAACCGCCCCAAGACGGGCCAAAAGGGGCCCAGGAGGCCACCAAGACTGTCCAAGAGGCGCCCGAAACGGCCCAAGAGCGCTCCTGGACGTCCAAGATGGCCTGAAGACGGCCCAAGAGGCCTCCAAGACGCCTCAAGGAGATCCCAAGAGGACCCCCAAGAGGGCCCCAAGAGGGTACAAACATAAAATTACTAATAGGTTTTGAAGCATGTTAACATTATCGCCTTTTCCGTCTTAGAAGCGCCGAAAACGGTCCAAGATGCCCCCTAGATCGCCCCAAGACAGCCCAAGAGCCCCCAAGAGGAGCCAAGACGGTCCAAGAGGGCCCCGATATAGCCCTGGAGGCCCCCCAAGACGACCCCGAGAGGCCCCCAAGATGGCCTCAAGAAAGGGACCCTTCTAGTCCTCCACCCCAAGAGGACCCCAAGAGCCCCCAAGATGCCCCCGAGGCGCCCCCAAGGGGCCCCCAGAGGCCCCCAAGAGGTCCCCAAGAGGCCCCCAAGAGGTCCCCAAGAGGCCCCCAAGAGGCCCCCAAGAGGCCCCAAGGCCCCCAAGAAGCCCCAAGAACCAAGAGACCCCAAGAGGCGCTCACTCGCGTGCTGCCAGGAGCGAAAGCGATGAACGAAGAACCTTCCACCCGTCGCCGTCACCAGTCGTCAGTCGTCGGTCGTCGGTCGTCAGTCGTCAGTCGTCAGTCGTCAGTCGTCGTCGTCGTCGTCGTCGTCGTCGTCGTCGGTTCGTCGTCAATTACTCCTTCGTCGGTCGTCGTCGTAATTATCCCGCTCGTCGACCGTTGGTCGTCCGTTGTCGTCGTCATCGTCCATTTCAACAACAATAACATCAGGAGCGCCCTGGATCGGCGGCTCTGGCCGGAAGCCACTACAATACGTAAGACCTATGAAGGCCAGCGGAAACGAGAACGCAATACCGTCATCGCCTGGGGTCGGCCCAGCGGCGGGCGACGAACGCGCTTGGCGCGCAGGCCTTCTCAGAGGACCCGAAACGTGGAATGGCATCAAATGACATCGGTGAAGCAGCGCAGCGTGCGTTCGATGCTCACTCAGCGCCACGAGACTCACTCCCAAAAGCCCTTTACAGCATCTTGTCCAATGGACTTCCAATGTTCATCGATCCCAAGGACAAATCGGAATCAAATGTGTTCCCAAGCGGAATCAAACGTGAACGACAGAAGTGGACAAGCATTTTGCAGATCATGTGGCAAACATATTTTTTCGGCCCCTGCAGCTCCATCACGCATGCTCGCAAGTAACGTCGTCGTCGTCGCCGCCGCCGCCGTCATTGTTGTCACAATCGCTACCGCCGCCACCGCCGCCGCCGCCACCGCCGTCGCCATCGCCGTCGCCATCGCCATTGTCGTCGGCGTCGTCGTCGTCCCCCTTCAGGGACGGCAACACCGGGCGTAAGGCCTTCGCAATCACATGCGAACGACAGAAATGGACAAGTAATTTGAAAAACCATGTGGCAACGATCATGCTCCAATCCCTGCAACTCAATCACAACTGCTCGCCTGCCACCATCTGGACGACGAAAAGAAACGAGTCTTACGCGAGGTGGCATAGCGACCTCATGCGGTGGGTTACGTGGGCAGCTAGAGCGGCACGTCACATCAGAAACGGAGGCGCTCACGTGAAGACTTACGTCGCAATTGAAGCACTTTTCTTCGTCGCTCACCTGCCTCCTCGCCGTACCCGCAAAATGAAACGTGCCGCCTTCTTGGCATCGCCGCGTGCCATCCACTGCTTCGGACCGCACACCACGCCTGCAAAGGCGTCCCAATGAGAGGGCAAAGCAGGGAAGAGAGCGTGCAGAATTCAAGAGTCATGTTTCGAATCGCAGGTGCAAGCTGAAGCACCATCACAACAACACTGCGTATGCGTGTTCTGGCGCTCTTGTATCTGCGCCTCTCATATCGCCTGCAACTCTTGATGCCTATTCGCTGGGACTTGCACCGTACAACTTCGCGATGAGCGCAACACGGGAGAAAAAAACACTATCGGCGGTGAGCGAGGGGGGAGATGAGAAGGAGAAGGCCTTCTCAGAAAACTCGGAAGTCCCGCGGCCTTCTGAGAAGTTTTCTAAGCCTTCCCCGAAGACATCAAACACCTATCAGAAGGCGCAAGGCCGCAAGGGCTTCTGAGAAGTCCCGCCGCCTTCTGAGAAGGCCTTCCCCTGCTGATTTCCCCCCCTCACTCGTCGCCGACACTGGTGAGGTAGGAGAGGAAGAGGGAGAGAGACAGGATGTGACCCTCAGAGGAGCAGCAACGACACACGCCAACATCATGTGAAACCTACGGACATCATCGCCCGGCCTATGGGCAACCCGCCACCGAGCGTCTTCCCGTAGCACACGATGTCGGCCTTGACGTCGTACGCGCCCTGGGCCCCGCGCGGATGCAGGCGGAAGCCGGTGTACACCTCGTCGAAGATCAGGAGGATGCCTGGAGAAGTGCAGTCCAAGGCATGCGATCCAGACCTCCTCGCGTTGTGACAAAAAATCACAGCGGGATATTTTTCGCTATTTTCGGCCTCCAGGGGCCCTCGCAGGGCCTCGGGACGGTCAAAAAAAACAGTCCCCGGGAAGGGGTCCAGGCTCCTGGAGGTCACGTCATGAAAAAATCACGACGTCGGGGGTCTGGGGAGAGAGGTAACTGTGCCTTGGACAACATAAGAGCTCAAACAACACGCCTCGCTCCGCCGAGCCCCTGCTCGTCATCGTCAAAGACTGCGCGGCCTTGTTTGGAAGGTTAGGCGGGCAGCATGGGCAATCAGAGCGCCGCGGACAAGAAGAGGAGAAGGGAGGAGGGATGCTGACGAAATCTGGCCCTTCCGAGCGAGCTAGACGACGACCACAATCAGCGTTGGTCTCTGAAGGCCCTGGCCCCTCCCCTTCTCCGTCCTCGCCGTTCCTGCTCTGGCCTCGCCTCTTGCCTTCCGCCCGCGGCCATCCTCAGGTGCCCTGAGCTGCCAACTTTTTCTCGGAGCGCGCCTGACTCGGTGCACACCTTGCGCAGCTGGTGGAGCCACTCCTTGTAGCCGGGCGTGGGGCCCACCTTGCGGTTGTTCGTGGAGAGCACGGGGTCGCTGGGAGGAGACCTCGGGGCAGCGCGCTCGTGGATCCATGCCTCCGCCTCATCCCTCTCCCCAGCCCTGTGCCACCGCCGCCCCCTGTGCTTCGGCGGAGCACTTTGGCGTGCCGGCTCAAACCGCAGGATCGTGTCTGAACGCACGTCGTTGTCCATGTGTCCGTTTGGTGGTTGTTGTTTTGTCTTGTGCGCAGGCTCGGCTGATCACTAAACCGAGATCTCGGAGCAATGGGCTTCCAGCGCCCACCCTTCACTGGCACAACTTTAGGCCGGCGTTGTGTACTGCATGGTGGACTGCGGCATTGGACCGAGGGCCGAACTGGTTGAGGTGGAAGCACTGCAGCGCGTTGATGAGGACGGCGCTGATCTCGCCCTTCCTGGTCGCAGGGAGGGGGCGAAGACAAAGCAGAAGAGGCAACGGTCGGAGGCAAATGATGTGAATGTTGAAAGAAGACGGTCGAATATAACAACGAAGAAGACGGGAGGGAAACGGAAGGTCATACTTTTTGGTCGCAGCGCTGGGGGACGCTCAGCGCTGTCGAAACGTCAAGCTGGGCAACGGGATTGCGATTCGAGCACACGAGGCAAGGGCAAAGAGGTGGGCGGTCGCGGAGGAGGCAAGGGGCGGAGACGCACGTTCGAATCGTTTAGAACTTCGTGAATCGTGCGGGCGGCCTTGGGCTCCCGACGGACAGGGATACACACGGTGTGAGGATCACGAGGAAGAGGAGGGGGAGACGGGACCGACCACTGGGAAACATAAGAAAAAGACGGATTCGCACGGGTTGAAGTCAAGAGGTTGACCATAGCTACTCTGTCGAACTGGCATGGGAGCCATGCCCATGGCTACGTGATCCAGATTGACAAGTCACCCCTCCTTGGAATCGGCGTCACCCCAACATACTAATACTATGTGAGCGTCGCCCCCCCGAGGACGATGCGCGCACCGAGAAATCTTAAAGTATATGCGTCGTGGCAAGCTCTTTCTGGCCCCACCGCTCGGGAAACGATACACTACAAGATGGGGTGTACTATACGCTCGGGTCGGACGCGCGCCTCCAAGGAAGACATCTAATACTGGAATGTCTTTGCGCGTCCCGTGGAACGGCCACGAGCACGAACCCCATCAAGCCTCGAGGGAAGTAGACGCGCGCCGTTTAGCCCGACGCTCCTACTCTAAAAACAGCCAGGTGGCCGCAGTGCCCCGAGCGTTGCGCCGAGAGCACGGGGCAGCGGCCGAAAGTTTAGGAGGATAGATCGGATAGTGTGTGTGTGTGTGTGCGTGTGTGGGTAGGGCAAGGAGGGGGAGGACAAGCCAGGCGCGCTTGCGCCATACCTGACATCCTACCCTTCCAAACCCTCCCTTCCTGTTGCGCCGTGTGTTTCTCTATCCGCGCACGCGTGTCATAGAGGACCTGGAAATCCCCCAACAAACCCGACCGTGTCATGCGCAATCGGGAATGGCGGAGGATGAGGAATGAGAAGGACGAAGGCGAACAGCAGCAGCGGGGACTGGAGTGGAAGGAGCGGGAGGAAGAGGAGGACCATGGAAAAGCGGAGGAGAGGAAAGGATGGGGGGCGACAACGATGATGAAGGACTCGGATCCAAGAATGAGCGTGTTCTACCGCTGCTGGCGGAAAACCGGGGGGGGTCACTACCGGTTCGACCCCCCCCCTCCAGAAAACCGGGGGGGGGTCACTACCCGCTCGAACCCCCCCCCGCACTCCCTCATGAAAGCAGGACGGGGGGCGACAACGACGATGAAGGACTCGGATCCAGAAACGCGGCACGCGCTGGGGCGAGAACGCAATTCTGAACGACGGGGGCAACGCGCCGATCCGAACATGAAGCCCTCGCTGCAGCGGGAACACCTTTCTGAGACCCCAGCGCCAAACTTACTGTAGAACAGATACGGCAAATCACCCGTCGTCCAGTCCTGTGTTGCAAGTAGTACGCGGAGTGGGCGGGGCAGCTTCCAGATCGAGTCGGTGGAGAGAGGGAGGTGCAGGAAGGGGATGGTTGCTAGCGCAAGAAAGCGCGGCATGAGGGATGCGCAGTGGCGCAGAAAGGGGATGTGAGCCAGCGGAGGAAACAACTGCACACACAGAAACGTTCAGAGGTCCGCGCTGATTTCTCAGGTTTGCGCTGGGTCCCCCTCCCTGGCACGTCTGGAGGGCCTCGGCGCAGATCTCACAAATTCGCGCGGGGCTCCGACAATGCATGCGTATGTTTTTCCTTACCCGAGGGATCGGAAGCGGGAAAAGGTAAAACAGAATGGTGGGGGGGGACGATGATGACGATGATGTTTGTTGATGGTGATGATGATACTGACGATGCTAATGATGATGATGATGAATCTGATGATGATGCTGGTGATGATGCTGTTCATGACGACGCCTGTGATGATGCTGATGATGATGCTGTTCATGATGATGTTTGTGATGCTTATGCTGATGCTGATGCTGATGAGGATGCTCATGCTGATGAGGATGCTGATGCTGCTGCTGCTGATGATGATGCTGATGCTGATGCTGATGCTGCTGATGATGATGATGATGCTGATGCTGATGCTGCTGCTGCTGCTGCTGCTGCTGCTGATGATGATGATGATGATGATGATGATGATGATGATGATGATGGGGGTGATGGGGGTGATGATGGTGGCACGTCGCTTGGCGAGGTTACGTTCCAGTCTCACGCCTCGAGCCAGAGAGCACTTCAATGTGCTCGGGATATGAAATGGGCGCGCCAGGGTACACGTAGCTTGTGGTAGAGTTTGAATGCGAGGGCCCAAAGCCAGACAGCGCGCTCCTTAGAGTTCTCCTCATTGTAGTCGTTCTCCCCGCCCAGACCAAGAAGGACGATCACTGAGGCGGGGAGGAAGGAACGAGGTCCGGCGACGCGGTGAAGCAGGCGGGGGCAGAAGAGGTAGTGGGAACTAGCGTCAAGTTCGCCCTCGCACCCCAAGCCGCATCGCCGCCGGCCCAGGATATGCATCCGACGAGTGGTGGCCCACCCTCCCGCGGGCGACCTCAAGGCCGCCCACGAAAAAAACGGCGGGGCGGGCCTTGGCCAGGACAATTTTGAACGAAGCGGGGGCCCCTGGAACTTTGGAAACCAGGCACGCACGCGCGTCTGCAGCGTCAGGTGCAGCCTGTCTGGGCACAGTTCACGTGCGAGGGAACGAATGTGCACCCCCTGGAGACACGGACGCTTTTGAAGCCTCTCGGCGAGCGCGGCTGCTTGGGAGGCCTCGGCAGCAACGGTCCGTTGGGATACAGAGGCGGCTTTCGGGGGCGCAGTAGAGCGTGCACGATCGCGCAGAGATTGCCATGGCCTGCGGGTCTCGCCAACACGGCGGGGACCACAAGTCTTGGACATGGCGGACAAGCGTGTTGTGGCGCCGCGAGCTATCCTCGAGCTCAGAGAACCACGCATGGTGCTGGGGCACAGCGCTTTGCGCCGTGCGCCGGCTCGTCGCCGCCGTGTGCGCAGCTATCGAGGACGGGGTCGTGCCGGGCGCCCAGCCTCGGAGGGGCCAGATACCGTGTCCCGTGAAAGGATTCGGTTGCAGTTTGAGCAGCTTGTGAATGCAGCGTGGCTACATAAAAAGGAGCGGCCTCCGCGGCGGGTCAAACTGGGCAAGGCGGCCCAAGGCGGGGAGTCGCGAATCCGCACCAGCAAAGGGAGGAGACGAAGGAGGCGTCAGAGGCAAAGGTCTTTAGGATTCTCTGCCACCGTCTCTGTAAGCAGGCCTCCCGCTGGAGGACATTCGTGGCCTCGGGGCCGATGTGCATACCTAGGTACTTCGTCTCACCTCCGGTGGTGAAATTCCGCCATTGCGGGAGCGCGTGGCGCACGATGGTGCGAACGTCCCCTATCACATCATCGGTGTACCTTGTCCAAACCGGGGCCAGGACACACTTGCGGGGGTAGAGATGGGGTGAGGCAAGGCTCGAGGCGGCGGCGAAGGTGGGGACAAGGCGAGTGAGGTTGGGGAGCTTCGCCAGGATCGCGCCGATGTCGTCGGCGCAGCCTCCGAGGGGGGCTTCGCGTGGGTGTGGTTGGGGGGCGAGCTCTCACGATCGAATGACGTGGTCCACGCCAAAGGCCCGCAGGCTGCCGCTGAGGGGGCGCCCTTGCATGGCCCCTGAATTCATGAGGAGCAGTGGGGCAACCTGATCGCCTATGCGCGCGTGGGCGAAGGCGAAAGCGCAACGGCCCTGGCCTCGAGGTGCCCTCGCAGTGACTCCATCCGCTCGGGGGCCGCAGGGAAACCACGTGCGTTTCATGCTGGCAAGGGCTGCATTGTTGTCGAACGCCGCACCATAAGGCATTCCGCACGCAACGTCTCCATGTAATCCTACTGCCCGCGCGCAGGCGTCAAACTTGGCGATGTTCTAGCAAGAACTCCCGCCGCGACCCTGCTGCGTCTCGTGCGCACTCTCTGCCGCTAAGTTTGCGAGCGGGGTATCAATTGCTGAGGCCGAGGTTTTGGCGTTGCAGTTCTTCGGCAAGGGCGGGCGCGCTTCCGTTGCGTCGCGGAGGCAGTCAATCGCATCGCCGATCTTGCCGCCCATTGGGAAGGGGGGGGGCACGCAAATGGAGTGATTGAGCGTCGGCGGAGCTGGGGCACTGCTAAACAGCCTCAGGAAGATGAGGTAGAGGCTGTCAATGGTTTCAAGCACTGCCAGCCAAGCTTGGTAGCACTTCCCGCCGCGCTTAAAGGATTCGCGCAGGGCCTAACGGGACGGGGTGGGTATATGAACCGCAAGGAAGCGAGATGGGGGGGCCGACCAAGTTGCCCAGCTGCTCGCGCGAGGACGGCCTCATCTGAAAAACGTGGTGCGAAGCGGCGGCGTAGGGCCGCGGCGATTTTCTTCGGCGCGCGGGCCACTTGGGGGTGAAAACGAGCTGCCCCCCCACTGCTCCGGGGCCCTGGGCAATCTGGGCGCGTTCGATGCCGCGCAAGAGGGGGGACTTCGAACAGGGCGTCCAAGGCGCCGCGCGCCGCTGGAACGTCCGCTGAGTCCGACGCTGCCCCTCCTGCGTGGGTTGGCCAGCGGCGCGGGCTGCGCGCGCGGCCGACTGGCGCGTGGCCCGCTCGAGCCACGCTTGGTTGCTGTGAGCGACTTCGCTCGAAAACTCCGCGGAGGCACGCGGCTGCCCGGGGGGGGGGCGAGACGTCCAAGCCCTTGCTGCCGAGCTCGACGATGGCGGCCAGCATGCGCGCAGCGCGGCGGTCGGCGCGCCGCGCGACGCGGGCAGTGGCGCGCGGGGCGCGAGACGCCTTCTCTCCTGCAAAGGGGCCGTCGCCCGTGTCCGGCGGCAACTGCAGCAGCTCGTTGCGGGTGAGCTCGGCCGCCGAATCATGGTCTCCTGCGTGGCGCCGCTCCGGCGCAGCTCGGTCGCGGCGTCAAGCTCGGCCTCTGCGGGCGTCTTCTTCAGCCGGGTCCTATGCTGCTTCGAGCGGAAGGCGATTTCGGGGCTGGGGCGCTCGTCTTTCACGGGCACCGGTTCGGTGTCGATGCTGCGAAATGGGCCGGGATGCGCGTGGGCTGGCGCCGCAAGTTCTGGCTCTGATGAAAGCGGCCCTCCTGCGTCTGCCAGCGTGCTCCGGGCCCGTCGGTGAAGTCGAGGTCGCCCATGGCCAAGGACTTCCGCTGGCGTGGGTTCGCCAGGGCCCGCAGCGCGTGGGACTGCCGCCCCCTCCGCGCCGTGGCCTTCGGAGTATCCGAGAGCTCGTAGTTGTGGGCGTTACGGAGTCGTTGAGGATGTGGGTCTGCATCTCCGTGCTGGAGTTGTTGCCGCGCGTGGACACGGTCCCGCCGGGGGTCGCGGCGTCGCTAATGATGGTGGATTGCTTGAAGGAAGTCGGGCGACCAGCGGCCCAACCTTGTTGGATAAGATCGCGTTCGGCACGTGTTAATCCAGGCGCAAATGCCGCAGCGCCGCCCGCGCCTCTCGACGAGCAGCCCGGACAGTTGGCGACGCGGGAGGAATTGTGCGAGTTGCGCGCCAGCATGGCCTTCGGCCGCGCGAGCGAGCCGCGGCGGCCCCGCGCCAGAGCGACGGCCCGAAAGCGGAACGCTTTCTCGAGGCGGCGGAACTTCAGGCGGCAACGTCGGGCGTTAGGACAGAGCGAGCCCCTCGCGTTCCGGGGGGCGACCCGCTGCGGGGCGCCCTCCTTGGCGGTCTCCCGCGGGGCCCAGTCAGGGTTATATGAGCCATGCAGACGCGTCAGTCGAGACGTGGGCTGCCCGTGACTTCAGCTCGGCGAGGCCCCCGTTAATGTCCATCTGCGTTTGGGCTCGGGCTGCTCGCGGAGGCGACGCGGCTGTTGGCCGATGCCAGACTGGCGCAGCGTCTTGACACCCGTACCGGGGTACATTTCCCAGGGATGACGGCGAGCCGCTTCGTCCAGGGCCCCCCCCTGACCTGCTGCGGCGACTTGTCGGTGGAGACGAAGAGCGGTGCCTCGGCGCCGCGGGCGTTCGGGGCGCGAGCCGCCCCCACTGCGAGCCAACAAGCTTGTGGGCGCGCGCCGAGGCAAGGGCGCGCGGCGCTGCCACTTCGAAATCGCTTTGGACGTGTAGATAGAAGCGTCGAGCTGTAACGTCCTCGAGTGCTTTTACACGTTCGGGAAGTAGGTGGGCGTCCTGTGCCCATTGATCTGTAGCGCGTCGAACCCCTCCGGTCAGTGCAATACGGGGAGCGCCGATGCTGAAGAGGGTCGGGTTAAGTTCGCGGTCGTACTCGGCAGGGTTGGCGAGGTCGGTGGCGGGTAGTTGAGCTTCTGCGGACGAGATGGCAGCTTCGAGCCGTGGAGCTGACTGTAGTAGTGCAGCTTGCTCTTCAACTTGCGCATTTTACCAGCGCCAGATGCTGCTAAGATCACGTTCTGCACCCTCGTGGCGAGCTTGCTGCGGCTTGCAGTAGGTTTCGGTGGTGGAGCGCAAGTCGGCCTGGACGTTGGACCAGGCGTGGTCGAAGAGGTTGCTGCGCTGTTGGGTGGCGAGCGTGAGCTGCGTGTTGACAAGGCCGTCAAGTGGCGCAACAATGACTTCGATCGCGAGTGTGCTGCGAACCTCCAGCGCTGTGGGCAGCAAAAAGTTCGTCCTCCAGGAACGTCGGGCGCATCCCCAAATCGTGGGCCATGCGCGCGCGCTCTGCATCATCGGGTGCATCGCCTGCTTGCTGTTCTGAACGAGCTGGTGGAAGAGAGTGGAACCGGTCAGAGTCGGCACTAGGAAATTGTGCACCGCAATCGGTGCGAGCTGCGCCCCGAATGCTATACCCAATCCTGCCAGACGCGGGGGCCACGACTGCTCCGTCTCCGTCTCGTCGGCTTCGCGAGCTGCCCGAGTCAGCCCAAGGGTCGAGACCTTGAAGAGTCCCCCAACTCAGCTCCAGCAGCAACGGTGTCGCGTGTCGCGTTCCCGAATTGATTCTCGTCGCTCCCGTCGGCGAGCTTGTCGCAGGGTACTGCGTCGGGCTCCGACTCCACTGTGGCCGCCACTGCGTGATCCGCGAGAAGGCGAGGCCGATCTCGAGCCAGAAAAGGGCGTCGTGCCTGCTGCGCTGCACACCGCTGGCTGGCGTGGGCGTTGTTGTACCACTCCGACCTAAGCGCAGCGAGAACATAGAGGGCCAGCACCAGGGGGCCTCTCGCAGGGCCAATGGCAGGCGATGCCAGGGGCGACCCACGACCTGCATATGAATGCTCCTGGGGCGAACCAGCGGACGGGGCGGACCAGCTTCTGGATTTGGAAATCTCGGAAGGGCTCTGCTCTTGCAACTTGCTGGATGGGAGCCTACCCCGAGTAGGCCGTGGTTAGTTCGATGTCTTGGCTTTGAGCCACCATGGCTACGGATGATGATGATGAAAAAGATGATGACGATGATGATGCTGACGATGATGATGATGATGCTGATGATGATGATGATGATGACGATGATGATGATGCTGATGATGATGATGATGCTGCTGCTGCTGATTATGAATCGAATCAGATGATGTTGCGGATAATGATGACGATGATGATGTTGCTGATATTGATGATGCTGTACTGAATGTTTACCTGCCACTGCTGCAGTACCTGGCATATCGTAACAAAGAAGCATGTGGGGCCGCCCCAGACTTTCCGAACTGGGTGTGTGGCCTCGATCTAACATTCGAGGCGTATCATAGGATGCGCGATAAGGTTGCAAAGGCCTTGAAAGGCCATGCCAGCACTGATCGAGCGGGCGCGGCCAGCGCACGTGGCCAAGAATGGGCCGAAGGAGCGAGGATGCAAGGGCAACTAGGCTACCTATCTTCGCGCTTCGCGATCCGCGAAGCGCCATTACCTTCTTCTTTCGCGCCGCCCGCCCCCATACCCCAAAACAGGCTGAATAACTCGCGCCTTGCTCCGAAATCGCCCAGACCACGAAGCGCGACCAACTTCGCACCCGTGTGGTGGCCCTAGGGAAACCTTTGAGTGGCTCATCCCTTCTATGCGCCCTGACTGTGCAGTCGGTCCGTATCACAAGGATGCGCGATGAGGATGCGAGGGCCTTGGACGCCCATTTCGAAGCTATTCGAGCGGGGCGCGGCCAACGAAAGTGGCGAAGGATGGACCGAGGAGGCAAGGATTTTAAAGGGGGTCCAGCTGAAAGGGGGTGTTGGGGCAATTGTATTGCAAATGTACTGCGCCAGAGAATTGTATTGCATTGTATTGCAAACGAAAATCCAACAATACATTTGCGCCACGGAATGTAATGCACGTCCCAAATGTATAGCAACTCCACAAATCTCTTGTACCAAACCCATTGCACCACCCCCTTGTCGCTGGACCCCCTTGTGGGTCAACCCGAAGAATGCAGGGGCACCCTTGGGAGGGATGCCCATCCTTACCAGGCGGGTCGACCGTAAGCACTCTAGGAGCACCCTCTGAGCAACGAAACGGGGAGCGCTCCGGCAGCAGCGCGCCCAAGACCTCCGACGCCCCGACGCTTTTTCGAGGCGCGGGCCCCCCGACCTCTCGACCGCTTCCTGGGGGCCCAGGTCTCCATCCGGAGCCGTTTCCTCACGGCCCCGAGGCCCAGCCAGGGCCCCGCAGTGAGGAGGAGGATTTTTTTAGGAGGAGGGGGAGGAGGAGGAGGGGGAGGAGGAGGAGGAGGAGGAGGAGGAGGAGGAGGAGGGAGGAGGAGGAGGAGGAGGAGGAGGAGGAGGAGGAGGAGGAGGAGGAGGGGGGGAGGGGGAGGAGCAGGCCGGGTCGCCTAAGCGCTTCGGAAAAACCCTCCAGGCCCAGCCAGGGCCCCGAGCGAGCACGAGGAAGGGCCCGCGCCTCGGTGTTGCGCGGGGTGCCTGGGCGGTGCGTGGGCCAGCGCACGAGGCTCCTCATCGCGATCACCTTCAGGGACAGCTGGCTCATGTCCTTGAGGCACAGCACGTCTTGGGGGAGGCGCTCGTTGCCAGCCACGGGCTGGGGAGCGCGGGGGGGGGGGGAGCGCGGCGCGGCCGCCGCGCGCGCGGCTTCCCCCCTCCCCCCCCTTCCCTCCCCCCCTCTGGGCGAGAAGCAGGGTGGCGGGGTGAGAACGATGACAGGGGCGGATGGGCTGTCGGGGAGGGGACCTCCACCCCCTCTAGCTGTGACCAAAAAGCACGGCGGGAGGTCTTTGGGGCATCTTCGGTCCCCAGGGACCCTCGCAAGGCCCCAACACCGTCAAACGACGACTCGGGATGAAAAGGGGGTCCCAGGAAAGGGGTGCAGATCTCCTGCAGTCGACGCTGTGAGAAAACTCACGACGTGAGAGTTGGGACGGAGGAGGGGCTTGGGCTTGCCTGGATCGCTGGGGGACTCCAGTCAACAGCGATGCCACATCTCGTCGCCGTGGGGATCGAAACCATGCGCCAACGCCGTCGCGCTCCTCCAAGCCTAGAATCTGCCCAAACGCTTCTCAGCATCGATCCCACGAGTGATACTCAGGTTTGTGCAATCGCGCAACATGTGGCAAGGCCTTGATCCTTCACATGCGCACAATGAGTTCGTAATTGTCCACCTGTTCCTTTAATTTCCAATACATGCTGTAGTACATGTTCTGCTCCGCGCGGCTAAGCACACTTCTTCTGCGAACCGAGACTTGATCAACGGATCGTTGCCGTTGTCGATGCCAACGCGGTAGGACTACCCGTAGTCATCGCCAGTTGAAGCCATACCAACGGATCTGCAGCCTCTGAGAGCGTTCGCCCATCATCGCAATACAAAACCGTCCAGATGCGGTTCCCCGACCCCTGGCTTCACGATTGTTCCATACCGTCGACCCTCAGAGGTCTCGACCCCTTCCCCTCGGACCGGTTTTTCATCCCGAGCCGTTGTTTGACGGTCCCGAGGGCCAGGGTGGGCCTCCAGAGGCTGAACATCAGGAAAAACCCCACGCCATGATCTTCTCATTGCCAGAGGGGGTCTGGGGACGTTTCCCCCTGCCTGACGCCCAGGAAGGCTCGTCCCTCGTCTGTCGCGCAACGTACCCTGCATCCACTCGGTGCACCCCCCGAGAACGGTCTTGGGCGAGAGGTGCGTGGGGGAGCACCCAGGGGCAGGGCCGGGATCACCTGGCGCAGGGGCAAAAAGGGGAGAAGGATAAAGGCGCCCGGGGCGACACCAATACCCGCCAGTCGGAAAAAGTGTGTGGAAGCATGAATTAGGACGGCGGATGAAATAGGCTGGGTTCGGGCCGAACAAAATAACGACAACAATCAACAAACACAGATCGCTTCTCGAAAAAGGAAGGCGCTTGAAATAGTTGGGGATCTGAATTCCCCAAACTACCTACTTTCAACGACCGGCGTGTGAGCAGGCACAACTCCCCAAATTCTCTCTCGGGTTCCATCTCCCCTCCATTTCCAATACCGCCTTGGACATCCGTGCTCCTCTGTCTCGCCATCGCTCGGACGTCCATTCCCCGTGTATGTTTCGATGCCATACCTTTTATATATTTATATAGGTATATATAAGAAATGCATTGATCTAACAAGCTATAAATCGATGACGCAGGATGCTCCTCGATGGTCCTCGCAGAGATGAACAATACACACGCACGAGCGATGCCAAGTTGTGCCTGTGCCCGTTGATTAGAAGCCTCCCAGAGATGGGGTCGGAGTAGATGGGGCGAGGGGATCGCGCCGCATCGCCGATACATCGGCGATGCATCGGCGATGCGGCGCGATCCACCGACCCCACCTGACTGGTCCCATGTGGGAGGCCTCGAGCTGATCCCGTCCGGGGACAAGGTGAAGAGAACGGCATGGGCGGGGCCCGGAAGGCCGAGAAGACGGCGGGAGGGGGCTCCCCGCCCCGAGGTCCCTCCTGCCCGCGTCGGCTCTCCCCCGTTGCGCGGGGCCCGTGTTCCGCAGGATCGGGCGGCTCTCGCCGCAGGAGCGCGAGCGGGGGAGGGGGGGGGGGGGGCGGGACTGTTTCAGCCCGAGGGGGATTCCTCGTCGGGCCCCTCGGGGCCAGAGCCTGGTCCCGGGGAAAGGGTTCAGACTTGGAGTGGCATTCGGGACCTGCTTCAGAACAGGAGTATACCGTAGATGGATCTACTCTTTCTCCGACCTTGCACCGCGCCGAAAGCAACGGTCATATTGTCCATAGACGTATATATCCACCCCGAAAATGTCTATGGACGTCACGGCACCCACTGTGTCCATAGACGCTTTTGGCTAGGACGTGAGAGCGGTATTTGGTATCGGCCCCAGATGTTGGTCTTCTAGAAGCAGGTAGACTTGGTCCTCCAAGTTCAGGCCTCCGGATGCCAACGCGGTGAACAAAACGACGGCGTGGGAGATCTGGGACAAGGGGGAGGGAGGAGGCGAAGCAAAGGGAGGCTCCTGCATGCCGTCCCACCACCCGTGGTACGCCCCGCCGAAGGTCACGACGAGGCTCTTGTGGGTATTGAAACGGGCCACCTTGCCGCCACGGCCCGGTCTCCTCTCCACCACCTCGCTAGAAAAACAAGCATCGTCACAGACATAGGCCTGCGGAAATCTGCGCGGACTTCCGAGAGTCTGTTGTCTTGTCTGCAAATGTTGCTTCTTGTGGGGTCCTTCTCCTCCCCCCCCACTGTACTCCCCTCTGCCTCTCCTCCGCTCCCTGTCGTCGCCGCAGGTCGCCTCAAGCTGTTGGTCGAAGAATCGCTGCCAGTGGCCTGACGTGTCGCCCGCCCTTCGGCACAAACTTTCGTCTGGAGGGCCCAGGTGATCTGGACGGTAAGTCAGGGCCCCGAGAAAACGGACCCCGACGATGCGCTAAAACGTCAGCGCCGAGGCAATGGGCTCCCTCCTCTCCATTTTCCCAACGCTTGTCTCGACACTGCAGGCCCCAAACTGGTGCCTCTGCTGGCGAGGCGAACACGTTCCAGCCTTTCGTCGCGTTGAATCTAGATCTGGGCATACGATGTGCTGACACATCGACATTCCCAGACATCTGGCTGCTCAATTTTTTCGATGCGTGGTCCGGAGAGATGTGGGCCACTTCCCAAGGGTCGTTTTTTCGTCCCGAGTCGGTTTTTCACGTTCCCGGGTCCCTGCGGGGGCCCCTGGAGGCCGAAAACAGATCAAAACCGGCCGATCATTTTTTGGGGAAAATCGGATAACTGGGTACATTGTGCTGGCACGTCAACATCTGGAATCTTTTACGGCATCCTCCTGGAGTCCACCCGACATCGGGGGAGGAGAAAGCGGAGGATTCAAGGGATTGTGCCATCGTGTAGTGGTACAGAATAACATCTCCCCATGAGCCCGATGAACATCGCGGTGATGAAGAAAAGGAAGCCCATCCGTGGAACCAGCCGAGACGATTATGGAACACCACGAAAACGACGTGAAAAATGTCAGGGGGAGGAAGAGGGGGGGGGGTGAGGATGAGGGCGAGGAGGAGGAGAAGGAGTAGGAGCAGGAGTAGGAGGAGGAAGAGGAAGAAGAGGAGGACGACGAGGAGGAGGAGGAGGAGGGACGGATAGGAGGAGGAGGTGGAGGAGGAGGAGGAGGACGAGGCGGAGGACGGATAGGAGGAGGAGGAGGGGGGAGGAGGAGGAGGAGGATGAGGATGATGATGAGGAGGAGGAGGAGGGAGGGAGAGGGAGAAGGGGGAGGAGGAGAGGGAGGAGGAGGACGGATAGGAGGAGGAGGACGGATAGGAGGAGGAGGAGGACGGATAGGAGGAGGACGGATAGGAGGAGGAGGAGGAGGAGGAGGAGGACGAAGAGGAGGAAAAGGAGGAGGAGGAAGATACCCGGTCCCATCTGGCAGGTCATCCGAGGCGCCCACATCGCTAGATGCCCTATCGCCGCGCCAAAGCCCGAGCTCTGGCATCCCGTCGGCATATAAGGCGGAACCGGCCTCCAGCAAGCCGAATGGCTCGCGATGTGCTTTGGGCCTCCTCGGACCTGAGCTTGTTAAACGTGTTTAACAGAACATCGTGTGCTATGGCGATGGAGACGATTTCATCGCGCGAGAGAGGCAAGGAAAAAAAGAAGGAGCCCGGCAAACACGTCCGCCCCCCACCATGGTGGGAGCCTAGGCAGATTGGCACGCATCACTCCGACAAGAGCAGGACAGACAAGGTAATGCACGATCTGGTCACCAGCAATACATTGACATCCAAACCTGCATCCTAGCGTGGCCTGGCGGTATCTCCGAGAGGTATTCCAAGCGTTGCATATACTGCGCAGCAGACTGAGTTGTACAAAGGGAGAAGTGCTGGCCGACCACTCTTAGCCGAGAGAAACTCAGTTGGGCTTCAAGAGCCCCGACTTGACCAGCTTCAGGAAACCTCGAGGCCCAATGCTGGAGACGCCTCAGGATAAGCTCTGGAAATGGGACCAGGGGTTGGTGGGCGAGCACAAGCCTGGTCATTTTCTTCTGAAGTCCGTGCTCGAAGACGGTGGGGGCTGACGGGATTCGGGATAACTCACGATAGTTCTGGTTCATAAGGAGGAGGAGGAGGAGGAGGAGGAGGAAGAGGAGGAGGAGGAGGAGGACGAGGAGGAGGAGGAGGAGGTGGAGGAGGAGGAGGAGGAGGAGGGAGGAGGAGGGGAGGAATGAGGAGGATGTTTTCTGCGGTCCCTGCTGCGCCCAGCCCGATCCTGGCCTTCCCTGCTCTTTTTCCCGTTCTCCCTCGCTGTTCTGGAATGCCTCCTCCTCCCTCCCCCCCCTCCCCTCCCTCCTCCTCCTCCTCCTCCTCCTCCTCCTCCCCTCTCTACTCCTCCTCGTACTCCTACTGCCGCTCCTGCTCCTGCTCTGCTCCTGCTCCTGCTCCTCCTCCTCTTCTCCGACTACCCCTCCTCCTCCTCCTCCTCCTCTCCTCCTTCCTTTCCTCTCCTCGTCCTCCTCTCTCCTCCTCCCTCTCCTCCTCTCTCCTCCCTCCGCCCTCCCCCATCTTCCCTCCTCCTCCCCCCCCTCCTCCCTCATCCCTCCTCTCCTTTTCCTCGTCCTCGTCCTCCTTCCCCGTCCTCCGTTTTCCGTCCTCCCTCCTCCCTCCTCCTGCTCCTCCTGCTCCTCCTGCTCCTCCTGCTCCTCCTCCTCCTCGTCTTCCTCCTCCTCCTTGTGAGAAAGGATGCGGCGTTCCTCTTTTGCTGTTGCTAGGCCGATGCCAAAGGCTGACCGGTGCACCTGCGTTGGGAAGCGAATGGCGATAGAAAAGAGGGGCGTTGGAAAGAGCAGAGACATGTATGGCTCCCATCGCTCCCGACATTCACACTGATTCGACTTCCTGTTCCCCAAAGCAGGGGCCTGCAACAAGCTAGCACACTGAGCAGCAAAACGCACGATCGGACCCAGGCTGGTCCTCTCAGCAGCCCGCAACTGGCCACTAGATATACATTCGCATAGACAGGCAACAGTCTAGAATATGTAGGGGCCGAAAAGGCCGTAATATGAAATCTCAACATGCACATACAAGAATAGGCGCCTCGACACAAGTCGTAAGTAAACATTCGAAAAAAAAACTCTCACGGCTCCTCCTTGGGAGCAGGCATATCCCTTGGGAGATGTCGAAACCCGGCCACGAGCCGGTGATACTGGCGACGCAAATCCATCCCCTTGGTGAGTACGTCGGCCAATATACAATCTGTCGGAACCCACCTCGTCGGAATGTCGCTGAGGCTCGTGCTCTCCCTGGGGCCAACTGCGGCGTCGAGCTGCGTCGCCTCGCGCAGCCATGCGAGGTCCATGGTGAGCCTCTTTTCCTGCGGCAGCTTGCCGCTGTCCTTGTGCATCAGTGACGCATATAATCGGCAACACCCGAATCATCGCCAGCATCCCCCTGTTGGTGATGTCCAGGTCTACGTGCATCATCTCCACAATCGTCGCGCTGACGAACTCCGCAGCGTCGAACGCCTCGGTGCAGCTCTGCGTCTCCGCTGCGAAGGTACCCCGAGCCACGCGCGGCAGCGCGTGGCTCATCCAGTCCACCAGGATAGCTTTGCCTGGCTCTCCTTCCGCCACCTTGCGCTCGCACAGGTAAACAAGATAGCCCGCCTGCGAATGGACCTTCTCGCCCTGCGCCATCTTCTGAATGGCCTCCTCCTCGGACAATACATTGCCCCAGGCGGCATCGTTGCAAACGATGAGACGCCATGGTGAACTGATGTCCAAACGTGGTATGTGAAACTCCTCGCGGGCCGTCTCCTGGGCAATTCTGATGGCTTTGTTAAGGTCCAAAACGTTCTGGATCGAAGGCTGGTTCTGGGCCCGCTGCGCCACGGGCGCAGTGCATGGCGAGTCTGGCCTCGTCTCGCGGGCTGGCCGCCCAGGGCTCCCGATGACACTCCGCTTGTCTGCAATCTCCGCATTGTTGCACTCCGAGTCAGGCTTCGACTTCCGGGACTTCTCCAGCTCCACAGGCCCGGCTCTGCCCGCGATAAAGGTCGACTGGTCCAGTGCGAAACCACCGTTCGGATCCCTCTCTAGGTTCTTCCCACGGAACATGACTGGAACACGGCGCCACTCGCCAAAGTTGAACAACCCACGTACTCCTTGGCGCAGAGCTTGCGACTCAGTAGTTATCAACAAATCGTCAGCATGTACAAACAAATCAGCACAACCTGCCATCCTGGTTTTGAATCCGCGGAACACTGTTGGGCCCAGCCTTGACTGCGTCATGTGGATGGTCTGCCCGTTCTCGTCCTCCAGCTTAGCATCTATGAGACCTCGGCGTAGCTTTCTCCACCGCAAACGTGGCGCGTCAGCAAGTCCGAGGATGCCCTTCTTGACTCTCAGCAAGCGCCTGGGGTCCATGTCGGGCAGGCCCTCCTGAGGCTGGGCCATGTAGTGTCCTCCGCGCGGCCGTGCTCCCCCCCTCGCATGAAAGCGCGCTCGATATCTCCGGCTACGATCTCAAAATCGTAGGCCGCCGCCACGGCCAGGAAGCTGAGAACTGAATATCGAGACACCGTTGGTGCGTCCGTCCTGGGGCCCAGCGTGAGGTCCGGGTCGTCGTGTCCTCCTCAAAGTAGTCTAGCCTTCGCCATGACTGGCGCATCCTTCGCCCCGGCATTCTTGTTGCAGTAGAGGTAGCGCGACGTGCGTATACGAGTTGGGTGCACTCGTTCCCTGACCGTCAAGCTCTCTTTGACGCTCAGTGGTTCGACTGCATCATTGCTCTCCCACTGCTTCCACTGAAGTGCGGCCGCCTCCTGAAGCAATGGCTTATCCCGCTCCGGGATGGCATTCCATGGCATCTCCTTCTCCATGGCCCTCTTCCTGAGTCGGTTGGTGTCCCAGCTCCGCTTCGCGATGAGGCCGAGACTGAACTTGCCCGGTTGAGCGGGCTGCTCGGGGAGATCCCCAGGATGAGGCAATGCTAGATGAGGCTCCACCCGACTCACCTGTGGGGCCCGTGTCTGGCGAGCCGCCCTCCACGCGAACTCCGCTCGGGTCGCGCAGGAGGTGCTGCCGCGGAAGCTGCAGGCCCCGATGGCGGCAGCCTCGAAGATGAAGCAGCTTCGGCTCGCGTTGTAGAAGGCACCGCTGGCGCCTCCGCCTCGCGTTTCTCCCGAGCTGGCCCTCCGGGTTGATCGCCTTGATTTGCCGCGCGCTTTTAAGGTCCTCCGCCCGCAAGAGCTCATGTAAAACGTCTCCCAGGTCATATTCTGGACGTCGCTCAAGAGGCTGATCCCCTTCTTCGCCGTCGCGCGGCCCATGGCCTCGCTGGTTTTCATACTGTGGTTGTTCGTCTTGCTCAAACTCTCTCACGAGCTTGTTCAACTCCTCGATGTCTGGATCATCTCCCTATCCTGGCCACCAGATCTCCTCATCCTCAATCGGTCGTAGTCGTTCACGCGATATATGCACTGTGCCGGCTCCATGACGCAACCAGAAATGGGGGGCCCCAGCCGATCCACTAACCGCAGCAGGTCCTCGCCATTCGTGAAACTTGGCCCCTTTGCGCTGCCTCCAGTAGAACGCCAAGTCGCCGCTCTCGCAGTTGACCCTGGTGACCCGAGGCTTGCGCGGCAATGCCCGCCAGAGCGCGTGGCTGTTCTGCATGTCCACGAATGCGGTCCTCGCTGTTGTCCTGATTGCCATGCGTCTCGCCAATTCAGCTGACGCGTGGTGCATGCTCTGCTCCGCGATCCGGCCCGGCCGGCCGATCAAGTCGGCGGCTAGGTCGGGTAAGCAGCCGTAGGCCCACTGCGAAGGTGCAAAGCAACAAGTCCTACGCATGCCATTCTTAGCCTGGCAGGTCTCCCAAACGGCCACCTCCAGCTCGCGGCGATCGGAGATCGTCTTAAGCTCGACGACGCGGTTGATCATCAGCTTGAGCCAGAGCCTCCATGTCGTTCGGTGCGCCCGTTCTGCCGCTTGGTCTGTCCCGCGACTGCCTTCGCGCGTATCCCCATCGATTCCATGGCCTTCTGGAATTCCTTGTAGAACATGCCGTCAGGGTCAAGCTTAGCTGCTGATGGTGGTCCCGCTGTGCACAACTCTCCGAAGACCTTGGCAACTGTCTGCGGCTGGCGGTTCTTAAGGTAGCGCGCCGCGTGGCAGGTAGTGGATGCCTCAACGATGGACAGGAACAAGTGAGGCTTCCCTTTGACCGTTCTCAAGTATACGCCGTCCAGGCCTAGCTCGTCGTTGAAGCCCCCCACTAGTGACAATCGCGAGACCCGATGATCCCGGGGCCGGTTTGGTACGTCGGCACGTAGAGCCATTGAGGTGCTTAGCGCCCTTCACGAGCGTACCCTCGGCCCCCATGGGGCGCAGGTTGCGGGCTAGGTCGTCGTGGGACGGGCGCCCTAGGTTCTGGTGCAGGCGCCTAAGCCTTGCGCGAACCTCCAGAGGCAACGCGCCCGCCTTCTCGCCGAAGGTAATGGCCCTAGCGCCCCTGGGCTCCTCCTCGGATGCGTCGCTGTCATCGAGCTCCACCTCCACTGGAAGTTCAAGGTTGTCCTAGTTCGCGCTCTCTTCGAAGGCGTCGACCAGCCTCTTGGTGAACGTCTTGGTGTAGACCAGATGTCCCGTTCTTCGTGCCCTGGAGCTCGACGTGGCCATGACTCCCGTTGCAGACGTAAGTGCGATGCTTCTCAAAAACTGCGCGTGGGCTCGCGGACGGGCGGGCCCGTGCGCGGGCGCTTCAAATGGCGCGCGCGCATGTCAGCCTTGAACTCCGCTGCGCCCTGTAGTGCTCGAAGTCGTCGCCATGGTAGCTCGTTCCATGACTGGCCCAACCAAGGGTGCTCGATAATCGCCACCCGTCCGGCGGCATGCTGCATCTCGAAGATCTCTTCGACCAACCTCCGAGTTGGTAGCTCGCGAATTCGCGCCTATCTCAACGCCTGCCGACCCCCCTTGAAGACTAAGCTCTGGAGATGGCACCAGAGTGTGCAAGGCGGCTCCAGGATTATACACTTCGGTTCGACGCGCTCCAGGTACTCCATGAACTCCTTCTTCTTGAGGTCGTCGCCGCATTCCATGTCCCAAGGCTGACCCGCTCGGTGACGTCGAGCTGCTGCATCGCGAGACGGGGGCGTTGGGCGTCGAGCGTCGTCGCTCTCGTCGGCCCTGGCGCGGCTGCTGGCGGCGCCGTCGCCGGCGACGCTGCCGGCGGCGCCGCGGGGGCAGGGCCTCGGGCGCGGCTCTGGCCGCGCCCTGGCACAGCGCCAGTGGTTGCGGTAGCTGCGGCGGCTGCGCGGCGCTGTCGCGCCGGCTGCCTCGGGGGGCGCAGGCCGACAGGGTGCGGCCCGAAGAGGGGCAGATGCCCAAATCTTCCGAACACCTGCGGGGAACCGATGATTTTGGCCTCGTCGGGCCTCGCGGGAGGGGCAGGAGGAGGAGGGGGAGGGGCAGGGATCTGAGGGATCCGATGAAATGCCTTGGTCAGCAAAGCAAGGCCCGCTACCTAGGCGCGCAGCTCGGACCTACGCCGAGAAGCACAGTGTCAGGCCAATGCCCAGCGCCGGCGGGGGGGGCCCAGCATGGCGACGAGGCCGCGGGGCCCCGAAGCACCGCCCGATGGCGGTTATTTCGAAAGGGGGGCCAGCACAGCGACGAGCGACGCCAGAGACCCAAGGGAAACAAAGCGCCCCTCGATGGAGGCGGCCGAGGGGGGCCCAGCGAGGCGAGAAGGGAAGGGGGCCGCCACCGCCCGACGGCAGCGCCAAAAACGAGCCGCGCCCCAAGGCGACGAGAGGGGCCCCACGACGGCCCAAAGGCCAACAAAACGAGCCGCGTCCCATGGCGACGAGAGGGACACAGCCACGGCCCAATGGCCGAATCGAGGGGATCCGACGCGGCGACGAGACGCACCACCCTCAGGTCTTGGCCTTGACCCAGTCCCGCATGGCTCCCAGCGCGGGAGGCAACGCGTCCTCCCAGTTAGGCCCGAAGCGGTCCCTGGCCATGCGGATCAGGCCGGCGTCCGACCACTCGATGTTGTGGCCAACCTTGTCCATGAACTCCTTGATCTTGCTCTTGCTCTTGCCCCTGCCCTTGCCTTGGCGAGCCCGCGGGCGGCCTTGACCACCGCGTGTCCCGCCTTTCTCGACCAGGGGGCACCTTGGGCGAGTTCGGGCCAGCAGCCTCATCTGCCATCGCCTCCTCGCCTGTGTCGCAGAACTCGTCGCCGAAAGGGCTGGCCGAGTCAATCGCTTCCGCTCGGCCTGCAGTGAGGTCGCGCCCGCTGTCCGACGAGCGGGGGTCGGCCCGCCGCTCCCCGAGGCCGTCGAAGTAAACCGGCTTCGCCTCGTCAGCTTCTCGGGGGCCTCCAGCGCCTGCGCGACCGTCTGGTGAGCCTGCTGGAACAACTCCGCGAGCTCCTCCTTCTGCTGCTGAATGCGTCGAACGTGCGGTGGGGCAGCCCCCCCGCATTTGCGGCAGTGCGAGCGGCGCCCAAAGTTCACTTCCTTGCGCCCGCGCTCCCACTTCTTGACGTAGTTGTGGAGCGACGCCGCCAGCTCCTTGGACGGCCTCCACGCCTGGCGCTTCGGTGCCTTGGCCGCCGTCAGGAGTGCCAGCCCCTGCTGTGAGGGCCGCCGCGGCGCCTTCGGCATGGCCTTCGCCTTGATGGTCACCTTGGCTTCCGCCTGCTGCACCTCCGTGGAGTCCTGCTCCTCCTCCTCCTTGCCACTGTCCACGCTTTCCTCCGGCGTGGGGCTGCCCTGCGCAGATTTCCTGCTGCCTAGGGTGTCCGCCACCGCTGGCCAGTCCACAGCCAGATCCACGTCCATCTTGAGTTGGTGCGAGAGGGCCTCTTGATCCGCCTTCAGCTTTACCTGCCATGACAGATCCGATATGACCTCCTTGTCGCTCCTCTGCATTTCCACGGCCTTGCGGTTCTCCGTCCTCTGCTCGCAGGAGATGCCGGCTGGCCAGTCCGTAGCCGCCTAGCTGCTGCTCTCCTGCGCCTCCAACTCCTCGTCCGACTGGAGCTCCGCTGGAATCGGGTAACTCCTCGGGCGAGTGCTTCATCTCGCACTTCATGCTGCCACAGGGGCTGGGTGCAGACGACGATGTCCACGTCCCTCTTGCCCAGCTGCGACTCGATGGCGCCCAGCAGCCTAGCGACCGCCACTGCGCCCTCGCCGCGTGCGAGGTGATCCTCGTCGGCGAGGATCCGAATCATGGAGAGAGCGTGATCCACCGCCGCTCTACTGTGGAAAATTGCCACCCTTTTCCTCCGGAGCCCGGGGGTCCCCCCCCCTCCGAAAATCCCCCCCCCTCCCCCTGCTGGACCCCCCCCCCTTCCTCCCCCGGCAAAACCCCCCCTCCTCCCCTAATCCCCCCCCCCTCCCCCCCTCCCCTTCGAAAACCGGGGGGGGGTCACTACCGGTTCGAACCCCTCCCCCTCGAAAGCCGGAGGGGGGGTCGCTACCGGTTCGAACCCCCCACTCACCGCCAGCAAACGACTCCCGTTCCCTACTACCGTCCGCGTCACATCCCCCACTGTTGTTCCCAGCGCCACTGTCCTCACCACCACTGTCCCCACTGGTTCCACCACTGTCCCTACTGTCCCCGCCAGTGCTCCCACCACTGTCGCACTGTCCCCACTGTCCCCACCACTGACTGTTCCCACCACGGTTCCACCCACACCACTTTCTTCACGGCCCCAACCACTGCCCGACTATCCCCACTGTCCCCACTGTCCCACTGACTCCTCTGCTGTCCCACTGAGCTGTCCCACTGTTCCCACCACTGTCCCCACTGTCCCCGCCACTGTCCCCACTGTACCTCTGTCCCATTGTCCCACTGCCGTCCTCGCCATCGCCTTCACCACTGTCCCCACCACCACTGTACCCTCCACTGTCCCATTGTTTCCACATCCCCGTCCCCGCACCCCTGTCCCTGCCACCGCCGTCCCCACCACTGTTCATTGTCCCCACTGTTCCCACCATTGTCCTCATGTCCCCACCCCTACAGTCCCCACCGCTGTCCCACTGTCCCCACCACTGTCCCGCTGTCCCCTCACCACTGTCCCCACCACCACCGTCCCCACCACTGTCCGCACCACCCCTTGGTAGGGGGGGGGGTTCGAACCGGTAGTGACCCCCCCCCGGTTTTCGAGGGGGGGGGGGGGGGGTTCGAACCGGTAGTGACCCCCCCCTTTTCATAATGAGCTGGGAAAGGAGCGGGGGGGGGTCGAAGCCGTAATGACCTCCCCCGGTTTTCCGGAGGGGGGGGGGTGGGAGGGGGTTCGAACCGGTAGTGACCCCCCCCGGAGTTCCGCCAGCAGCGGTAGAACACGCTCTTTCGAATCATGCCATCGCGGCCCGGGCGCGCTGCACCCCCTTCACGCGCGCGCGCCCCACCTCGAAACGATTCGAGGGAAAGGGGCTTGAGCCAAAATGGCTACGGAGGGGGAGGAAGAGGAGGAGAGGGAGGAGGAGGAGGAGGAGGAAGAGGAGGAGGAGGAGGAGGAGGAGGAGGAGGAGGAGGAGGAGGAGGAGGAGGAGGAGGAGGATGGAGGAGGAAGAGGAGGCCTTCTTGGAGGCCCCGTAGGCCGTCTTGGAGGCCTCCTGCCAAGCAGGCGTGCAGGCGTGAGGCCCCCAGGGTGTGGCAGCCCGCGGCGGCGACCGCGGCGAGGAGCTGGCGGCATAGCCCTGGCGTGGTGTGGGCACCCCTCAGGAATGGACGGCAAGAATTATGTTGTTCCCATCGTACTGAAGGACCACATCCCCGAAATAATTTCGAGCACCCAGAAAAGTGTCGAAAGAATATCGAAAGAGTGTCTCCCAGGGCTCGACACGCAAAAACCGAAGGGTTTTGAGGTGTTTTCTTGGTGCTCGAAATTCATTTTGGTGATCAAGGCTGCAATAGGTTGGAACATCATAAGGCAAGATGAACCTCGGGCCCGCAGAGCGTTTGGGCCGCCACCAGCTCGCAGGGCGCTGAGGGCCATGGCGGCCATGACGTTCTTGCCTGTATTCATGTGTCAGCGCGATGTTGAGGGGAGGATGAAGAACGCAAGGGAACGTTAGCGCCGAGAACGCTGCGGAATGGCCGCGACGTGCGCTGGGAAGCCCGAGGTGGTGGCCCTCAGGGATGCCGTTGTGTAAGCTGCCTCCGGATGCTGCCCGTTCGGCTGCCGTGAGCAGCACCGCGGCCGGGGGCTCGCGTCGCGGAGATTTGGAGGAGGCCCCTGAGCAGTCCCCGACGCCAGTCGCGTGCCCACCAGTGCCCCGTCGAGTGCGTACCTTGCCGATGAGCGTGGGCACCTCGGGGATCTACGGACCCAGGTCAATCCAGACCCGGGTCAGCCAGACTCTTCAAGATCCTGCAAGATCCTCCTGCGCCCAAGCCCGGGGCAGCGTGCCCCTGGCCATGCGGGGTCCTGCAAGATCTGGCGCTCTGGCGGACCTCGTTTGCATCAATTGATCCCCGAGCACCCCGCGGTCGGCCTCTCGGGGGTTGGAGGGAAGATCGCCGGGCGGGCCAGCAGGGGCGGGTGGACGCCCCAGGCGCTGTTCACAACGCTGCTGCTGCTGCTGACGCCCGCGCTGCTCCTTCACGTGCGGTCCGCAATGGCGCGGCGGGTCCAAATCTTGCTGCATGCGACCGGGGTGCCGCAGAATGCTGCTCCTCGGCGTGGGCGACGGCGTACGTGAGGCTGCTGGCGAGACCTGGGAAGAGGCTGTCGGCGAGATCGTGGGCGGGGCTGTGGGCGAGCTTGCAGACAATGGCGCGGGTGAGGGCGAAAGCGCAACCGTGGGCACGGTCATTGGCGTAATCGCATACGCATGCTGGAGCTACACCAGAGAGAAGCCCCAATCACTGGATGGTTTGATCGATAAGGAGATCGACCGGGAACCCGGGAACCTGGAACCCACCGAAATCGGCCCGGAACCAGTTACCAGGAACCCGGGAACCCGGAATCGGGAACCCGGGAACCCAGCAAGCCACCAAAATCGGCGGGACACTTTCGCCAAATCTTTCAATTTCCGCTAGGACCCCTTCAGTGCAAGCACTGATTGGGGTATTAGCGCGGGCGATGGTGTTTGTCGGGGCCTTCCAACCCAGCCTCCTTCCGTCTCTCCTTCTGGCGCTCCTCTCGCAGCCCTCCTGAGGTCCAACGTCTCAGGCTTAGGTCGGGCATGTCCCCACCCAGACATGGTGATTTTGGACGAACAATAAAAACATATGCAACCATATATTCAAAGTGCAAAATAAATACTCGAAACATAGTCCCTATACTATTTTTTTGATGATGTTTGAATATTCCTCCTGTAGAGGGACAAGCCCGACTTAATCTCAGACGTAGGAAGCGAACCTGTCAAAAGAAATCGTGACGGCCGCTCTAGACTCCTCCTGCTTGCGGCGCTCCTCGCGCCAGATCGAGCTGCGAGGGCCCCGTGGCCCGCATTGGGGAGAAAACGCCCAGTGCGACAAAAATGCGACACCAAGATCTCAGGGCCCGGCCCACCCCCTCCTTCTCTTTCGTGCCACCCTCCTCCACCTCAAGGGGCCTGGCCAGGGCCTGCCAGATGGCTCCGAGGGTACTTCGGCCGCCGCCGGCACGACCACTCGTGGGGGCAGCACTAGGGGCCTCCTAGATGGGGTCGGAGTAGATGGGGTCGGAGGATCGCGCCGCATCGCCGATACATCGACGATGCATCGGCGATGTATCGGCAATGCATCGGCGATGCACTGGCGATGTATCGTCGACGTCGGCGATGCATCGGCGACCTCGACGTGAAGCACATCGGGCTCCACATCGAGCCGCATCGCCGATGAATCGGCGATGCGGCGCCATCTTCCGAACTCCGACCACATCTTAGAAGGCCTGGAGGGCAGCACTGCCCTGGCGCGCCGGCGTGCAGGAGAGCCGGACCGACCTGTCGGCACTGCGTGTGGGCGCGCAGGAATCAAGCTCGACGTCGGATCAATTCGCAGAGGCGCACGAGTGGGCCGGGAAACGAACGACACCACACCACCTGCGGCCCCACGGGGCTCAGCGTGGACCAGGAGATCTGGCATGGGCTGTCGTGTGGTGTACGCTGTGGCCCCCGATGGGCCGCAGCGCAATAGGGAGGGCCGTGGGGGAACGAGGAGGAGGTGCAGGAAAAGGAGGAGGAGGAGGAGGAGGAGGAGGAGGAGGAGGTGCAGGAAAAGGAGGCGGAGGAGGAGGAGGAGGAGGAGGAGGAGGGGAGGAGGAGGAGGGAGGAGGAGGAGGAGGAGGAGGAGGAGGAGGAGAGGAGAAGGAGGAGGAAGAGGAGGAGAAGGAGGAGAAGGGAGGAGGAGGAGGAGGAGGAGGAGGAGGTGCAGGAAAAGGAGGAGGAGGAGGAGGGGGAGGAGGAGGAGGAGAAGGAGGAGGAGGAGGAGGAGAAGGAGGAGGAGGTGCAGGAAAAGGAGGAGGAGGAGGAGGAGGAGGAGGAGGAGGAGGAGGGGGGCGGGAGGAGGGAGGAGGGAGACGGGAGGATGAAGGAGGACGGAGGGAGAAGGGAGGGAGGATGGAGGAGGAAGGAAGGAGGAGGAGGAAGGAGGGATGGGGACGAGGAAACGGAGGAGGAGGAGAGGAGGCACCAAATCGAGTTCGAGCGCGCCGAGCGGGGAAAAAGAAAGGCCGAGACAGAAGGGAAACGCCGAGCACGCGCAACTCGTCGATGAAACAAAACTAGAAGACGACGGATGCCGACTGGCAAGTAAAACGTCAGACGAATTACCGAAAGCGAAGCCAGAAGCAGGCTTCGTCCGAGACCAGGAGCGGGCGAGGCTCGCCCCTCCACTCCCCCGAGAGAGGATCTTTCCCCATCTCGAGGGCTTTGAGATAAGTAGAGTCCTTACTGGATGCAAACCCGTGGCACTCACCCCACAGGCGAGACCGAGGAGCCGAAGGCTGGCATCGGGCACCACAGCAACGGCAGAACGCAAGGGTGCCTCCAGCAAGGAGAATGACGTGTCCACGGGCGCTACGAAAATCAAGAGGGCCCTGAGCGGCGAGGGGACGGTCGGGGGGGGCGGCATCACGGGCAACCCAGAACGCCCCCACCCGCGGGCCCCCAGAGGCCCTAGCTCTCTTGGGGAGCGGAGGCCCCCCCGAACCGCCCAGGGGACCCTGCTCACCAGCAGGGGCGGGGGGGGGCGCACGCAGCCAAACGAGGCGCCTTCGGGCGCGGGCCCCCAGGGGCCTCTTCATAGCGTCTCCCCCTACTAGTCCCCTCGCTCCTGGTGGGACGTGGGGATGGCGGGGAGGGGCCAGGGCCGACCTGGACACGGGGGGCAGTGTCCTGGGCCTGGAGACTCGGGGCCTTAGTGGGCCACCCCGCACACGCGTCAGCGAGGTCGAGATCCCGACGCTCCTCCTCCGTTTGAAACCTCACCCGTTTAAACGCCAGGAGCCGCTCAGGGCCCTCTACCGCCGAAGGCTGGAGCTCATCGTCGTCCACTTCCATCAGGCCCACAGGGCCCAGGCGGGCGCCGTCGGCGCCCGAAGAGTCCATATGACCACCAGGGAACGGGGTCGAGACTCCAGGCGGCCCGACGAAACCGTCACCCGCGGCGCCACCCGACATTGAGCTCGAGGCCCAACGGGCCGCGGCCTCGGCAACTCTACACGTGCGGAGCCTCAGGGCCCTCGCACATTTGGCGGACAAGGCGTAGGCGGGGCAGCGGTCACAGGCCCACTTTCGTCCACGCCTCCGCACAAGGTGTGGGAACTCCACCGCCGTAGGCGGCGGCGGCGCCCCCGTCCGCTGGCCGCCCTCGGTCGCTGCTCGCCTCGCCCCAGCCGCATCATGCTCCTGGGCCCAGCGCTGCCGTAGCGCCAGGGGTCGCCTCCTCGGGATCTCCACGCGGTCGGGCGGCACGGTGCCGTCGAAGGTGACCATGGAGACGTTGGCGATCCAGGATGCGACTTGCCTCACTCTTGCCAGGGCCTGCGTGTGCCTGTCCACTACATCTCGAGGAAGGTCGTGAAGGCGACGTCCCTGCTTGGCTGCTTGATCCGCCAGGTCGTTGCACCGCCTCTCCCAGGTATCCTCCTTCGAGTGGCCCTTGACGTAGGTGACGCGGATAGGGGGCAGGGTGCATGTGTCAGGCGCATGGAGACCTCCGTGGTCATCAATGTGATGCCATATTTGCCTCCACAGGTCCACGTTATCACGCCGAGGACTGCAGCACCATCGCCGCCCACGGGCCAAGCCGTCGAGCAAGGGTAAGTAGTCCGTGTGGATGTGGATCGGGGCGACTCCAATCGTGAGAACCTGCAGCACCGCATGCAGCTCAGCCCGTGCCGAAGTCTGACGGGGGCCAGGCAAAGCACCAAACGCAGCTCCTGAGTAGGTAGCATCTCCCACGACCACGTATCCCGAACCAGCCCGTGCTGCAATATCCCAATGCAATAGCTTCTTGCGTGAGCCGTCCGTGAAAATACATCCCGTTACGACAAGGGGCTCAGCACGCGCTCCGCGATCGCAGTGCCATGCACCAGCGTCGCACCTCGGGGGCAACGCAGGCAAGAAAGAGTCGGGATAGGCCCCTGGGGTAGAGCAAATCCCATGGGATCGTCGCCAGGGCAGCGTTCAGCGTACCTTCATCCACGGGCAGCTCTCGCCAGGGGATCCAGAACCCATCTCTTGGCCTTCGCCCCAGCCTGCAGTAACCCACGTATGGGTGCTAGCCAGATGCCTGCAGGATCTTTGTGACTCGGCCCAGGTATCTCAAGCATGACGTCTGACCGCTGTGCCCACTGCTCCCAACCAACCGCCTCGTAGCCCAGCAGAGCGAGCCACCTAACGACGGAGGGAGCGGTAACCCGCAGGTCAAGCACATCCCCAGTGCGAGTCTGGACGCTGTAGCACGAGGAGCATTTCCAGCCAAGGTGTACCACCGACCGCGAGAAGGCTCCAGCAGGTCCTTTGACGAGCTTCCAGTTCCTGGGGGCGGGTGCTGACGCAATCTGAAAGTACTGCGTCCTCCAGGCGACCTGCATGTCGTCCATAGAGCATTCCACAGACTGCATCATGAGCGCCCAGTTGTAGATCGGGTCGGCCACAGCGACGCACTCTGGGTGCTGCAATGGGGAGCGGTCCAGCCGAGCTGCAATCCAATGTGAGCCACCACTCGGTATCGCATCCCAACCATGCTTCACCATTGCATTCATCCTTCGCAGTACATGCGGGGCAGCGCCTAATATGTCCAAGCCGTAGGTGGCGGCGGGGCCGACTGCTGCCCGAGCGACCTTCTTGAACTTGGCCCCGAGCATCCGCAAGCGCTTAACGTATCGAGCACTCCTGCCCACGTTGCGCATGCGCCTCCTCAGCACGTGCCCGTGGCACGGTTTGCCTGCGCCAGCTTCCAAGCCCAACAATTCGAGCCAAGGTTGTTGACGGAAGCCGTACTTCTTCAGTCGCCCTGCCACCAAAGTCGGTATCTGCTTGTCGGAACCTGCAATCAAGGCCTTAATAGGGAGGCCCAGGTCCGTCAAGGAGTCACAAAACAGCTTGATCACGTCAACGGACACCTGCTGGAGAGGCTTTAGCTGCGCTTCGATCTGCAGGGTGAGGTCATCGGCGAAAATATCCAGCGACGACGAGAAACCTGCATCACCATTGACTTGGAGGGGGTACACCATGGCCACGAAATCGTCCATGGCAGACAGCATGAGGAGCTGGACTAGGGCCATGGCGTACTTGCATCCAGGCAGCACGCCTTGATCCACCACGACCGAGTAAGATGTGGCTTGCAGCCACACCAGCCTCCGAGGAGCTCGGTACATGGCCAACGCACATGATAGTAGCTGGCGAGGAAAGGCGTGCTTCTCGGCTGCTTGAATGAGCCGACGCCAGCAGATGCGATCAAAGCACTTCTCGATATCCACTATGGCCGTGATGACGCCTTTGTCCGAAGCCAAGGCCGCTTCAGCGCGAAGAAGGGCGCGAGCGGCAACATCTTGAGTCGTCTTGCCGGCCGCCAAGGCAAAGTAGGGCCGATCATGCTCATGAAACCACTGCCGAAGTTGGGCGCTACGTACTTGCGTCCATACCCGATGCACCGCCTGCAGGAGCGCAATGGGTCTCCAGCCGCCCTTGGGCTTGGCCAGCAACGCAATGTGGGCGGCCATGAGCTGGGTCGGCCAGCGCCCCCAGTGCTCTGCGAGCCACATGATGCAAACGAGCAGGGCGAGGGTGGGCTCGCTGAGGAGGCTCAAGGACCTTGGGGCCAGCTTGTCCGCACCCTGGCCCGTGTGCCATTTGAACTGCTTGGCGGCCCGCCGCACCTCGGCAATCTTGGGGACCGGAAGGGCAGCTTTTGGGAGGCTCCGCCAAGCCTCCCTCAGGTCGGCCGTGTCGTCGCAGTCCTCGATGTGCTGCAGCTGAAAGTCGTCCTGGCCCTGCCCAGCTCCATCCACTTGCGCAAGCGTCGGGGGCCGCGACGTCGTAGTAGCATGCCAGATGTTGGCCCAGCGGTCTATCTGATCACCAGCGATGTGCTGCGCTGAGGATGTAGGGCCCCCGTGGCGATGGGCCTGCGCGCGCGGTGCCCCTGCAGGCTTGGTGAAAGAGAACAAGGGTTTGATGCGGCCCGCCTCGCAGCTAGCAGCCCAGGTGGCGAAAGACCTTGACCTGTCTCGCATAGCTGCCATCTCCAGCTCCTCGGCATACATTCCGAGCCAAGCGACCACGGCACGCGCGGCGTCACGGGCTGCATCACGAAGGTCGGCCGAGGAAACGCGTGGGCAGCAATCAGCAGAGTAGGGTGCCCCACCAGGGGGGAAAAGGCCACCATCCTCGCAGTCGATGTTCATGTGCCGTGCGCCCCTCGCACTTCCCACGTCCGTAGACTGGCCTCCCAACTGCCCCGGCTCCGTCCCGCTCAAGGGTCTTTGTCGGTCCAGGGGCTCTATGGGCAGGGCGGCGCACGGCCGTGATGGAGAAGACGAGGGCCTCGTCGGTGTAGCCAACGGGGCCGATGAAGTCAAAGTAGCTGGCGGTGTCAAAAGAGAGGTCCGAAGGTAGGAGGACATGACGGCGGCAACCCCAGGTGCTGCAGCGCCAGGACGACCACCACCCTCACGATTACCGATGAGGTCCTCAGGAGCATCAGGAGAGAGGGGCACCGCGCCAGCCCCAGGTGCTGGAGCGCCAGGACGGCCAGCGGGTAGGTACGTGCAAGACACCTCGCCATAGCCCAACTTACGCCTCTTGAATGAAGGAGAAGACGAGGGCCCCGTCGATGAAAATAACGAGGCCGACGAGGTCAACACAGCTGGAGGTGCCGAGGGAGAGGCCTGAGGGTAGGAGAACGTGACGGCGGCGGCCCCAGGTACTGCTGCGCCAGGACGACCACAACCATCACGATTTCCGACAAGACACTCAGGAGTAACAGGAGAATGGGAAACCGCGCCAACCCCAGGTGCTCGAGCGCCAGGACGGCCAGCGGGTATGGGCGTGCATGACCCCTCGCCAGAGCCCAGCTTTCGCCTCTTGACTGTATGCCGCGCGCCGCACGCACCTCCTGCACCCGCAGACTGGCCTCCCGACTGTCCAGGCTCCGTCCCGCTCGCGGGTCTATGTCGGCCCAGGGGCTCCGCAGGCAGGTCGGCGCACGGCTGCGCCGATGAAGTAGACGCAGACGCCGCATTCGACGCGTCCGCTGGTGTCGACGGCGCCGCAGTAGACGAGGCCCTGGAGGATGGGGATGGGGAGGTGATCACGTCGGCCCCTGGTGCTGCTGCGCCAGGACGGGGGGCGTGGTCACGATTGCACAACTTCAGCACGCTGGGGGGACTCACGCAGTAGCTGCCAGTCCCAACGGCCTCCACTGCAACCCCAGGAATAAGAAAAGAAACAGGATCGGCATCAGCCCCAGGACGACCGATAGCCGAGGAAAGAGACGGTGAGCACGCCGTAGTTGCACCATAGGCCGTCGGCCGCTGGTCAGGGATCCAACGGTCTGAGGCAGCCGCAATGTTCCGCACCGCGGGGAAAATCCCACGCAG